CCCCGTCGGCCGTGCGGTACTGCGATCCGCTTTGATCCCCTGTTCGTCCGAGGCAGGCCGGCGTGCGTCAGTCGTCGGATTTAGCGCTTCATTGATTCACCCGCTGTATCAAAGGCGCAGGTATTTTAGAACGAGCCTTCAGAAGCAGTAATTGGCTTATTCTACAGCGACAATAAATGGAGGGTCTTTTGTCGCCTGACGCTTATCGAACGCTACGCTTCTGCCGGTTCAGTCACTTGTGTATCTTGTGTGCTAACCATTGGAAGACTGCCACCGGGCTGGGTGATGAAGTCACCCCCGTGCCCCACTCGCTGCACGCGTAAGCAGCAGGACCGTGCTTGTTGCCCCACGCTGGGCCCTGCTGCCATTGGCGGGATGCGCCCGCCTCTCTCACTGATCTGATCGCCGCGGTTAGCGAGCTGACCGGGCGGGGCACATAGGGCAGACCACGGGGGGCTGAGGGACACGGAGAATGGACAGCGCAGAAACAGGCCGTCACTGCCAGCCACACGATCCGTCTGGACGGCGGTCGTGGCGCGTGTCGGCGCCCCGGCCTCCGCCCGCAGCCGCTCCATCATTACCACCCGCTCATTACGGAACTACCCGCCCGCGCTGCGCGCCGCCCCGCCGTATTTCGGCGTTTGGTGCGGCGGCCGCGCCGCGCCATCCATCGTCCGGTGACGTGCGCCGGCCGCCGCCCCCGCCGAGCTGATGGTCCGTGTCAGACGGCGGACTGCCGACGGAAGGGGAAAGACCGAACCGAGACGGCCGCTCGGCCCGGGAGGGGCGCCGGCCGACGGACGGCGGAGACGGCCTGGCGCCGCCGCAGGGGCCGCCGGGGCGCCGGACCGTCTGCAAGACGCGCCCCTCGGCCACGTGAGCCCGACTATCGACCTGGCCGGTCGATACGAATCAACTGCGGCGCTCCACGCGGCGGCGGGTGCGTGAGGCCCGAGCCCAGAGGGGAAGCGCGCGGCCGGCGCCGGGGTACGTATCGACTGCGCGGGTCGCCGCCGCCCCCGCCCCCGCCCCCGCCCCCGCCCGTCGGCGGTCCGCGCGCGCCGGCCGCCGCTCGGATCGATGGCGTGCCGTCGCCGGCGACGGACGCGGCTGTCGGAGTCGACGCTCGCCGCGCGGGGTCGACGGTCGCGGCGCGGGCGCTCGTGTGACCGGAGGGACCCAGTGGACGCTGGTGGTGAGCCTCGGCCGGTCCGGGTCAGAGTGTCAGGTAAGACGGTTACAGCGGCCCGGCGCCCAAACGGCCAGCCGGGGAGGCACCAGACCTATTTTTTAATAACTCAAATCCGAGGTAATTTCCGTGGGTAGCGATTCTTTCCCAGCGCTGTGGTTGGCGTGAATGAAGGCTTATCCTGGGGCGGGGCTGGTTCCCAGGGGATCCAATGTTCCGCCGTGTGGTCTGTTGCGTGTTGGCTCGTGGCGGACCAGGCCAGCATGTGACCAGGCTGCCTGCTGTTTTCTTCGGGCGGCGGGCCCTTCAGGTCAGTGTGTGCCCCGGGTGGGTGGTAGCCGTCCTGCGCCGGCTGACCAGGTTCAGTGTGTCCCTGGCTGCCGTCTGTCCCGCGGCCGGCGCGGCGGTTGGCTGTGGCGCCGTGTATCTGTGGCTTGGGAGACGGTAGAAGAGAAAGAGAGAGTGGCTCGGAGTGCCGGTACCGGCGGCGGCGGCGCGGGCTCCAGTCCAGCGCCGGTGGGGCCGCGCGGCACAGGTGCTCGGCGCGCTCCGCTCACCTGGCTGTGCCGTGTCGGCGCTGTGTGTTGTCGCTGACCGCCGCGCCGCGATGCTGTTCGGCGCGCAGCAGGAGGTGCTGGTGTACCGTGGGCCGCCGGCGGGCGGCGGGGGTCGGCGCCGCTGCGGGCCCGTCCCGCTCGCCTGCCGCGTGCACCCGTTGTCGTTTGTGCGGCCGTTCTCAGCCCACAGCGGCATCTATCTGCGGCTGCTCCACGGGCAGAGGTCGGTCAGCGGTCCGGGAGACTGGGCTGGGGTCGGTCACCGCTCAGGGATCTCGGGCTTGGCTCAGGGAGCTTGGTGGGAGCTGAGATCGGTCACCGCTCAGGGAGCCCGGGCTGGGGCCAGGGAGGGAGCCTGGGCTGGGGTCGGTCAAGGTACGATGGGTCCCTGAGCTGAGGTCGCTCAGATCAGGTTAGGGTGCTCGGAGCTGGTAAGAGGTGACGGCGCTTTGATGTGTGAGTTAGAGAAGAAACAAGTCTGTGAACATTATCCAATAGCCCAGACCCCCACCAGGGAGCCTAGAATGGTGGTCATCGGTTCAACACCAGTTTGTCTTCCGTAGGGGGATCCACGGTGTTTGAATTTATTGGGTGGGATTTCGTGCTGTATGCACTTGCATACATGTGCCTCCTTTGATGATGTTTTTTGCCATAAACATCATCCATCCAAAGTTGTCGCTTTCTTCATGAGGTCGTTTGTCGAGCAAACCATGATGAGTAGATGTCGTGTTTTCCCGTAGTCTGAGATAGAGCTGCAATCGTCGTGTCCTATGAGCGGGCTGTACGGCCAGCGGATGTGGTCTGCCCTATGTAGGACTCCTGCGGCACTGTTCCGACGTGGCCGTCACGTGCCGCGCGTCTCAGGGCGGCTGCTAATTGAAGTCGCTCTCCGATTTCCCTCCCATTCGGACTCTGCTAGCGTGTCTGATCAGCTGCCTGCTGTGAAGATCTGAGAGAAATTAACCTGTCCTAGCTGAGCTGCACTCATGGGTAGACATCCGAGGAAAGTCGAATTGTCTCGGATTAGGATAGTGGCCGCACACGCCCCACATGTGAAACCTTGCAGATATAACGTACCGCAACCAACTATCTTGATGAGCTGCCTCACGCATCATGCTCGGCGGGGCATAAAAAGGCTGACGGTCGCCGCCGGTCCGATAGGCGCCCGGGCCGTGGAACACGCCGCTCACGTGTCGGCCGCTCGTGCGCCGGCTCCGATTACCGGCGGCTGTGGGCAATACCTGTGGGTGACCCGGGACCCACCGACCGCCGTCCATCCACCCCGGCGCCGTGCAGTGACAGATCGGTCGGCTGCGGCTCACCCCGCGATGGGGCCGTCGTGCCGCGCTGACCTGTGTCGCGACTGGTGCCGGGACTCTGCTGGGGACAGCGCGCAGAGTGGACCCGGCTCGGCTGACACACTGGCCGAGTCTGGCCGGAGCGGCCGCCAGCTGACGGCCGGTGCAGTGGGGTCCATCGGGATACCACCTGGTCCGAGACAGACTCGGGCCGGACCGGGGGCGCGGCGGAGCTCGCTGATCCCGTCCGCCTGCTAAGACCGTTATTGGGGCTAGCTGACAGATGCGACAGCCACGCGTGTCCCTTGCATTATGGAGACCCACGCCATGGCTCTGATCAGACGATCCAATCGTGACCCGGGTGTGACCTGCGCGTGATCCTGCGCGACCCCGCGTGTGCCTGCGCAACTGGGCGGCCTCTCGGAGCCATGGACCGGAGCGTGATTGACGGTCTGAGCGGCTGCGTGGAGCGTGGCGGACGGACGGCGCCGTGTCGACATTGCCACACGCGCTGGCCGTCTCTCCCACTCGCGCCGGCCGGACGGCGGCTCTCAGTCCGTCGGTACTGGTCACTCCATTGGCCTGTGTGCTGTCGGCTGGCCAGCCCTGTCACGGCGCAGCGGGGACGTCTTCCTGCGATCGTCACAGCGCTGCGCCTAGTTCGTGAGATGCGTGTCCCACGGTTCCGCCCCGGGACACCGCCGGCGCTCGGCCGTCCTCGGGCGGCGGCGGCCGCCCGACAGGACTGAATGCGATTATCTGCACCGTTGGCTGGCTTCGCGGTGAAGCCCGGGGAGGCGGCGCCGGCGGCGTCACCGATATTCGGGCCGTCCGGCGCGGCGCCGCGCAGATATCGTCTGCACTGTTTGTCTGGCGCTGTTAGCCAATCGTTGGAACTGTTGAAAGGTCCTTAACGTGAACTGTTGACACGTCCTGTGACGTCGGACTATCACTGGTGACCTGGTGACCAGTGAGCTCTGAGTAAAGGCCAGCGGCACCAGCAGAGGACAATCTCCCGTCCCGACCCGGGCCAATGCTGCCGGCCGGCCAACCGCACCTGCTGCCGGCAGAGACCGGACCAGGTGCGAGCTGCTGCTCTTGGCAGGGAGCACGCCGCGGCGATGGAAACGTATTCATAATACACCGGTCGTGCCGAGCGAAATCGGCCCAGTCCTGCGCGCAGCGATGCGCCCTCGGTAGTCACAAACATGCCGCGTCGTGTCTGACAGCTGGGAGGTAGGCCGGCCGCTCATCGCTCACACCTCGCCAGCGGGCTGTCGTGTTGGCTCCGAGGTCGGGACGTCCACAGACCTGGCAGAGGACTCGGGCGGCTGTGGAGCGGCCGGGCACCTCCGACAGCCGGCGACACTGCCGGGGCTGTCAGTGGACTGATACCGGGCGGCGGGTCGCTGAACCGGCCACTCCGAGTCCGAAATCACCGCCCGCCGGCCGGGACTGTGCCCCGTTACGGCCGCCGGCTGAGTCGCTCTCCGTCGCCGGCGGCTGAAGAGCCGAGTTCGCCTCCCGGAGCGCCGCTCCACGCCGCGACGGCCTGTGAAAATCCATTAGCATTTGTGGAATAATGTGCGCTCGCTGTGGGCTATATCGGACGATCTCTCTCCCCGGGATCTAATGACACGGACCTGAGGCCGCCCGCGGCGTCTCACGCATCCGTAGGCTCGAACTCGGCGGGAAACGACTTCCATTGGATGAACACGGGAGGAATGTCTGTGTGTGTGTCTGTTTGTGTGGTATTGTATGTGAGACTGCGAGACTGTATGGAATAATCGCAATAGCCCAATCGTTTGGAGCGTGTGTGAAAAACGTTACTGTTTGTGACTGATCATGTGTTCATGCTATTGAACGAGAGATGTTTCCTCTTCTGTTCATGTCATCACGTCTGTCGTGGCTGTCGTGTGCTCTTTGTGTGACCGGCGACTTTGTGTGTGATTGCAGTCCTCAGCGGCCGGCAGCGATGCCTTCAGAGGATCACAGTCCGCCGAGCGGCGGCACCGCCCGCCGCAAGCCGGACACCTGCATGAAACGGTCCCGGATCAGCCCGGCCGGGTAAGTCACCGGCTCTGAGGGTCAGATGAGGGTTGGGAGAGGGTCCGCTGAGGGTTCTACGAGTCCTGCGACTCTCAGCTAGGGAATGGTCGGCCCAGAGCCGCCGGCCGCCGGGCAGGTCTTCCCCTGAGGCTCGGAGACCCGTCCCCGTCATCTGCGGTTTATAGTGGGCTCTCGGCGGACAGGGTCGACTCCGGACCGGCCACCGCGCCCTGTCACGGCTCCGAACAGTGCGGAGGAAGCCGCTGTCGCTCCCAACTCGTCTCGTGAAAGCCGAGAGTTTTACCGGCGCGCAGTCGCTGAACAGTCGTGATGTGACAGCGCGGCGCGGCGATGAAAAGATGAAAAATCCGACCACTTGCAGCATGATGATCAGCTTAGCTCGCTATGAAAACGGCCGATGAGAAGTTTCCCAGCACGAGCTCTGATTTGTCCGTGTCCACCAGCGGAGTGCGTGAGGAAAATGTTCGTGTCGGGGCGAGAATTGCAGAGCACGCTCGGATAACCTTTTGTCGGTGTTGTCTGGAGAGTGGAGGAGCACGACGCGCCCGGGTGAAATCGGCGCGTCATTCTCATGGAAATGGCTCTTCTGACACCCGGAGCCACATCGAGACCGAGCTCCTCAAACACACCCGTCTGGGTTAATCGCCCGAGAGAGGGGTGTCGGGCCTTCTGCTCCTGCTGATTGCAGTGCAGTTATATAACTTGCAAATGCAGTTATATACCTAACTTGCAAATGCAGTTATATTTGCGATTGGAATTGTTACAATTAAGTTCGCGTGGTGTGAACGTTTATGTAATATTTACATAAACTCGCTTCTTCACTTTGCGTTATGTAATAGGTATAGGTTGTTATGAGTTGAACGGGGTGCTCCCCACCCGTCGCACAGTGTGGCCGAAGACCAGTTTAGCGCGAATTTAATCCCAGCGCCGCTCGGATCCACTGAAAATGGTTCTCTGGTTCCAAAACTGACATTTACCCCTCGCCGGACCTATTGGTTTTCAAAATACGCGCCGGCCGAAGGGAGGGGGGGGGGTACGACCCCTGTCGCTGTTTCGCCCCTGATGAAACTAGAGCCTCGCGGAAAAAAACTAGCGTGTGTGCCGTTACGAGACGCAGCAACTGGTATCCGATTTTAAGGTCTCTGGTTAACCTGTGACCTCTGAGGTCAGGTAGAGTGGCCCAAGGCACGGATTCGTTTTTTATTAATAACTTCGCGAAAAAAATGCCGCAGAGCCGCAATTTTGGCATCATCGTGTTCGCCTCGCTCAGGTGCGTCGAATGGTATACTTTTTGTTCGGCTTAAGTCAACTTAAGGTGTTGACCTCGGGTCAAGGTCAAGTTAGAGCCCCCCAGATCACGAAGTTGGTCGAAGAAGGTCATGTTGCATATCATTCGATTCGGCATGTCTTCCTGAGTCCATTGGTGGCTTTCCCGACTCGCTAGCTCAATTTGATCGGGAGTTATTGACGAAAAACTCTTATTACCCTAGTGACGTCATAAATGACGTCACGGAAGGCCAATAATGCAAAAGTGAAGCATCGGACCTTGCAAGGAGTGCATGAAGTCACGATTCCGTGTGCTTGAGATAGTTAATTAGGCTGGAGCCTGTTCGGCCGCGACGCCCCCGACCTTGGTCAATGGTCAGGTCACGCCGGGCGGCCGACTAGACATGTTCAAAGCTGAATTGACGGCAAATAGGCAAAAAGTGGCAGCTGAAACTTGCTCGCTCATGTTCAGAAATGTGCGGAGAGTTCAGCCATGCCCTATTCGTCATATCCATTTTTATCCATTTTGACATTTTCCAACTTCTTTATGAAATACTATCGTGAGAACGATACACATGCAAGGCTCCTGTTCTAACTCATTAAACTCATAAACCATTCATTGAAAAGCTACCATGATAGCAGAAACAGCTTCATCATGAATTGTGCTATCCGGTGATATGCTATTTTCTCATATATCTTCTCGAAGCTTCCGTAAAATTTACATTGAAAACTGGACATATTTCTCAGTACCATAGCCCGATTTCAGGAACCGGAGCGTGGGTCTACTTTCGGCAGGGATATAAGTCCTCAAATGATAAAGTGGCTTAAAAATAAGGTTCTATCCGATAGCTTTGGGCAATTTCCTACACATTGATAGGTATAAATAACAGTTTATCGAAAGTCGGGTTTTTGATTAAATTCGCGCTAATCTGGTATTCGGCAAGACCGTGCGTCGGTCAGCCCCTCGGTCGTCTCCGCCGCGGTATGTCGCCTCCCCGGTGAATGGGGACGCCGGCAGACGCGGGCTGATACCGGGCTGATACCGGCCGTCTATTCAGGCCAGCACTGACCGGCGTCGACCGTGGGCCGCGCGTGTGGGCGGCCGGAACACATGTGACCGGTGGGATCCGCGGGACAGCTGGCCGGCCGGTACCGGCGCTGGACGCGGCTGTGTGACCAGCTGCGCCCGCGGCTCTGTGACCGCCCACGGCTGTACGGCCACTCGACTCCTACTCTGTACCCGGGTCACGGCGGCGCCCGGCCCCCGCGCCCGTAATAGACTGAGCGGCCGGCTCGGCCTGGTAACCGGATGTGGCGTCCTCTAACAGCCTTGGCCGGGGTCGAGGGCGGACTGTCGGCTGCCGTATCCCGGCCCGATGGCGGAGTGTCGGCTGCCGACCGCCATGGTCGATGGACGGTGTCGCTGACGGACGGATGTGTCCGCGGGCAGTATTGGCTCTGTGACTGACGGCTCCGATCGCCCACCGACCGTCAGCCGCCCGGTCCGGTCCGCGCGCAGCAGCCGTACCACTGCCGTCCCTGGCATCACCCCCGGCCGAAACGGAATAATAGGCAGTAATAGTCACCGGTGAAACCGGCGGCGTCGTCCAGCGTGCTGGGTTTTATCGTCTGTGTGAAAGGACACTGATTGAGGTGCGACTCTCGCGCTCATCAATTGGAAAGCCACGTTTATGGCTGTTGGTTAAACTCATTTAACGGTGGGTAGCGCCTCGGGATGCTAACCATCCTTTTCGGAGGGCGTATTCGGCCGCGGGTGAGCCACAAAGTTTAGCTCGCCTCGGAAATGGTGATTGCAGTTTGACACCGTATTGGCTGAAAGGTTTGCTGCTGGTCGTTCAGCAAATCACCAAATGTGACGAGTTTAAAAAGAGAAAGTGTGGGCTAATCACCGTGTGTCAATGGAAACGTTGGCCGGTTGGAACCATGGGTTACTCGACCGTCGTATCACCTACATGATATTGATAGCCTGGCACCGCTCTGACACACGCCAATACGCGTATCGATGGTGGCTGGAGGTGCCTCGCCCCGGGTCTGCGTTGGGGCCGGCCCCGCTGTCTCTGGTTGGAGACGCGGCGCCGGCCGTGCCGCCGCTGTCGCCGGTTTCACCTGTGACCTGGAGCGGAGCGGACGGCCGACACTGACCCGGGGTGGTCGGCCGACACTGACCCGGGTCGGACGGTCGGCCGCTGAGGGCGCGGTGGCTCCGATTGGAGGCCGATCGCCGCGCTGTTCCTTATCGCGCCGCGGTGCCGACACGGCGCTGCAATCATAACACGTCCCGGCGCCGTGCTCTGTTTGTTGTAGCGTGCAAACATGACGGATGGCCGCCGACGTACGGTGGGCACCATCTGCGCCGGGTTGCATCAGCGGGCCGCTGAGCGGGGACGGGACGGGGTGACGGTCACACGTCCAGAGACCACGGCGGTTACCGGGAACGGTCGTCCATTCAGGAGCGGCACCGTGTTTGGCACTGAGCGGTCGGTAATCGGCCGGACCCGGCTGGCTGAGGTCCCGGGGGGTTACATCGTCACTCGTCAGTGTCGTATGACGAGTGCACTGACGAGTGCTTCTCGTCACTCGTCAGTGTCCCTGAAGGCCGACATGAGAGCCAACCTAGCCCAGTTGTGGCGACAACGTAAAAAGTGTGTAAAACTTTGCAGCCACTATGGACAAGAAGCAACACTCGAAAGTTGTACAACTTTCAGGGAGGAGTCCCGGGTCGAAGTGGCGTCTTTGAATGCGCTTTTTTCTGTCGACTTGGAAGTACAATCAATTTGGTGTTTATGCTGGGTTTATGTTCAGCATACAGAAAGGAGATCAGGCTTGCTAATGACCTCGCTGTTAATGAACTGTCCAAACAAAGCTGTCCAAACTAAAGCTGCCAGCGTGAGATGATGTTTTTCGTACTCCAGCGTAGATGGGTAGCCATACGGCTTCCACGGTTGACAGTGATGACATCAGTCATCTTTTTGCGAAAAACATCATCTCACGCTCTCAGTCCCAGCGGATAAAAAACAACACCTAAGGATAAAGCTGCCAGCTGTTGTTTCCACGAATGTTGGTGTTTGGACCATCTGCTTTTGTTGTCAGCCCAAGGCCAGGGGTTTTTAAACACATTCTCGCTATTTCCTTTCAGATGAAATAAAAGGCTTGGGCTTTGACCAGGAAGGCTTTGTGTGGAGTTTTTTTTTTGTCGTTTTTCATTCTGATCGAAGGCCGTTCTGAGTTTCTGACTTCTGAGGATGATGCACTTGTGCTGAGTTTCGTTCGTTGTTTGCTGTGTTCAGCTCCTGTCGCCGAGCTGTGGTGGTCTGAGCTGGGGCCAGGTTCTGCCGGCGACTGACACGGACTGGTTCATTAGCGAGGCCACCCCGCCCTATTGACCAACCGTGTCACCCGGACGGGCCTGACACCGCGGCCAGCCGGCCGGCCACGGACGGACGGACGGACGGACACTGCCCACGGCTGCCCGCTGCCCACTGTTGGATGTTTGAGACTGGTCTCCTTCAGACTGATGTGTGAGCTAGTCAGCCCGCCTACTTGCGTATACTATGGATGGTTAGCTCCTGGTGCCGCCTGCGGCGCTTCTGAGTGGTCGGATTTAGTGCTTGTCGATTTTTAGCTCTCTTTCATTGAAGGGTGGGCGGGGCCGGCCGCTGGTTTCCGTTCAATTTCCGCGGACGCCGGTGCCGAACTGCCGACTGGTGGTCGTTGCCGTCCCGCGATACGACGGACGGCCGCCGGCGCGGCCGGTTACCGATCCAATATACCGTGACCGCCGCCGGCGCAGGTGGTCGCCGGCCGAACGAGCCCCGCTCGGCCGCGCGCCACACGCCCATTATGAATGGAGACATAAAGTTTAAAATCCGTGCCCCGCGCCGGCCGGGGCCGCCGGCTGCGCTGGAAAGTTCGGGACGATCGTAAAACTGGTGCGGCGATGAAGCTTTCTGCGGTCGTGGTGTCGGCGATGTTTTCTATAAGCTGGGCTCAGGTGCACTCGCGTCTGCGGCCGACGCTGGACAAAACAGGAGTGGGTCAGGAGAGCGGCCTGACTCACTGGCAGGTGGCGGATGCGGCGGTGACCCGGCCGGCCGTTTTTGTGATTTCTCAGCTGTGCTGCTGTGCTGATGAAAAACTGATTCTGCGATGCAGCGCGCGCGTGTCCTGATGATCGTGCCGTTGACTGGTGCTTTAGCAGTATCAGCGGCGCACTGTGTTCTGTGGGTGGCTTCTGTCAGTTCCATCTCGCAGTATCAGCGGCGCACAGTGTTCTGTGGGTGGCCTCTTTCAGTTCCATCTCGCAGTATCAGCGGCGCACAGTGTTCTGTGGGTGGCCTCTTTCAGTTCCATCTCGCAGTATCAGCGGCGCACTGTGTTCTGTGGGTGGCCTCTTTCAGTTCCATCTCGCAGTATCAGCGGCGCACTGTGTTCTGTGGGTGGCTTCTGTCAGTTCCATCTCCTCTGAACCAACGTCGCTCGCTGTGGACTACTGTTACGTATGTCATTTGTTCTCTGTATGCTGGACTCTGCTGCAGTCCCCAGTCTGGCCATACAGTCCCTAGTCTGATCCTGCCGTCCCCAGTCTGCCCCTGCAGTCCTCAGTCTGACCCTGCAGTCCTCACTCTGAGCCTACAGTCCTCACTCTGAACCTGCAGTCGCCGTCGCGTCTCTGCGCCCGTCTGCTGCTGGCCGCCGTTTCTGTGTGTCGCCCCATTCGGCCGTCCCGGTCCGCCGACTGACCCGCCGTCTCCCGCCCGGCAGGTACGAGCTGAGCCAGGACCTGGCCGACCGACAGGTGGCCTGTCTGGAGCGCAAGTACGGCGGACGGCGCGCGCGTCACGCAGCCGTCACCATCCAGCGCGCCTACCGGCGCCACCAGCTCACCAAGGCCTTCCGCGCCATCACCACGTCGGCCAAGAGTGAGAAGCGCCTGTCGCGCCGATTCGAGCTGCCCGAGTGCTGGCCGCCGCTGGCGCCGGCCGCGCCGGCTCCCACTCCGGTGACGCCGATCGCGGCCAGCCAGTCGGCGCTGCCAGCTCCGCTCACAGCCACCCGCAGCGCGGCCAGCCTCAACCTGAGCCACAGCCTGGAGAACGACTCGGACCTCTCCGACCGCGAGTACCAGAGCTACGGCTACCTCAACGACTCCACCTACATCGCCGAGTACGTGTCACCGCAGGCGGGCTTCAGCCCGCGGCACACCGCCGCTTACCAGGTGAGCAGGGCGCCCTGAGAGCTGCGACAGGCGCGGGATGGCGGGGGGAGGGACCGGGGAGGGCACGGGACCGGTTGGGCCATGGAACCGGGCAGGGCACGGGACCAGGTGGGCCATGGGACCGGGTGCGGGCGCAGAGGCGTTGCGTGTGGACCAGGTGTGCGATTGCGCCATTGAGTCGGCCGGCTAATGTAGTGGCTCGCTTTGCATAATGGTAACTCGCCGGAGCGTGTGATTAGGGCCGCCCGTGTGTGACTGGTGGTCGGCGGGCCGATTGTTAATGAGCGCCGGGCGGTTAACTCTGGTCGCGGACGCCTGTTCAAACCACTGCGGCAGCTGGTGGCGGCCGGACTGCCCGGACAGCGCTGTCAGAGCTGCTGTGTGTGCTGGCTGCGCTCCCGGTGGCGAGCTGGATGTTGGCTGGCCGGCGCGGACCGTGGGACGAGCCCGGCTGCCGGCCGTGCCGCGCTCCGCCCCCTGTGTTTGGTGAACGGCCGCGCGCTGTTTGCACAGTTGCGCCTGGTCTCCGCCGGGACCGGCCGCTGCGCCACGGCGGCCGGTACGCCCGCCGGCCCTGACCGGTACGCCCCCGGCCCACTGCGGCGCTGCGCTGACGGGGCGGTCTGAACGGCTGCGTCAGCATTACGCCAGCCGCGGGAGAGTCCAGCCGGACCCCCGCACAGCCCGGCACGGCGCGGCTGCAGCGCGACGACCCGAGGGGGCGGCACGTGGCCGACACGCTGCGTTTGAATCCCAACGGTCCCGTGCGGAAGGACGCGCGGTCACTGAGTCATGAGCGATATCCGAGCCGCACGAGGTTCGCGCTGGCCTGGCCTGGAGCCGGGTCCGCCGGCAGTGTCAGCTCTGTGCCCGTCGTGTTCCCGCGTCCTGTCAGGCCCCCTGTCCTGCCGTGCAGTGTGCCCGGTGTGCTGCCGCGTAGTGTGTCCGGTGTGCTGCCGCGCACTGTTCTCCGGCGATCTAGTGTGTCTGCAACTGGAGATTCCGCTATCGCCTCCGTGTCTCCATACCTCCCTCACCATCCCCGTACAGGTTTATCATCTCCGTACCATCCCCGTACCGTCTCAGTCTCCGTACCATCCCCGTACCATCCCTGCCCGTCTCCGTACCATCCCCGTACCGTCTCCCTACCATCCTTGCCCGTCTCCGTACCATCCCCGTACCGTGTCCCTACCATCCCCTGTCGTTCTCTGCGTCTCCCGTCTGTGTGGCGCGGTGTGTAGTGAAAGTGAACGGTCCGGCCGTGTGCCCACTCCCACTCGACCCGCCGGTCAGAGGACAGAGGCCAGCACTGCCGAGAGGCCCAGAGCGCGGCTCGCCATGGGAAACGTCGTCAGCGTGAGCCATTGTCGGCCGGCGCCGCGGTGCCGTCATGACTCGGGGTGGGAGGGGGGGGGGGGGGCTAACAAAAGGCAGGATGTGTGCACTGGGGAGAGCTGCAATCACGTGGTTTGTGTGGGCTGACAGAACAGTTGGCTAGGCAGGCTCTTTTGTGTGGACAATGTTGTGTTAATTGCTGTGATATCCTGATCTAGTATGCGTCTGAAAACGTGTGCTTTGCATGGTCAAAATGTACAATATCTGGTTGACTGCATTTCTCGATGCTCAATGTTCGTGACTATTGTACTGGTGGGTGTGTTATGATTCCCCGTTCTGACACATTCCCTGTCCGTGTTCGGTTTTCAGTCGGGCGGCGATGTGCCCATGTCGCCGGCGGCGGGCGGGCGGCGGGCGCGCGGCCCGCGGCCCGAGCCGCCGCACCGGACCAGCTCCATGTCTTCAGTGCCGCGCCGTCTGGAGCAGCCGTCCACCAGCTCCGGCAGCGAGAGCAGCCTGGGCTCGGCCGGCCAGGGCGCCGTCGGACCGGTCAGCACCTCGTCGCCGGCTGTGGTGCGTCGCCGCTCGCAGGTCAGTCCCACAGTGCGCCGGCGCTCGCAGGTCAGTCCCACAGTGCGCCGCCGGTCACTGGTCAGTCCCACAGTGCGCCGGCGCTCGCAGGTCAGTCCCACAGTGCGCCGGCGCTCGCAGGTCAGTCCCACAGTGCGCCGCCGGTCACTGGCGAGTGTCGCGTCCACTCCCCAGTCACATACCGGCCACTGTGCGCCGCCGCGCCGCTCGCAGGTTAATGCTGGTCCCTCGGTAGGTTTGGACTGGCCACCGGTCGGCGGTCACACGTCAGTTCCACCTCCCTCGGTAGGTTTGGACCGGCCTTCGGTCACCGGTCACAGCTCGGTCCCGGTTTTCTCGCGGTTGGCCGGCCTGGGTGATGAATTGTACCCCGGCCTGTCGGCAGTTATTTATTGTGGCTCGTGTCGGCCGGATTAGGCAATTGTTCTGCGCTCTCGACACGGCCGTTTGGATATTGGTTTGTTCGGATCCTGCCTCGGTCTGCCGTGTTCCTCGGCGCCCGGGCGTGTAAGCTCGCAGGCCGGCCCTGTCCCACTGCTGGTCTGTGCGGCTGGCCCTGTCCCACTGCTGTCAGTGCGGCTGTTAGACCGACCCTGTCCCGCTGCTGGTCAGCGCGGCTGTTAGACCGACCCTGTCCCGCTGCTGGTCAGTGCGGCCGACGGGCTGTCCCGCTGCTGTGCTACTGACCGTCCCCGGGGGCCACCTCCCGGCGCCCGCACAAACTCCGGACCGCCGGCCGTCGGCGCCGATGATGGCGGCGGTGTCGGCGTCGGCGCGGAGCCGCCGGTGCCGACGTAACGCGGCGCCAGACACCTTTTTGCGGCCGGGATATCGCCCTGTCAGCGCCGCTCTTATGAGGGCCTTGCCGCCGGACGGGTGCTGAAAGGGAGTTGATGGCATGGTGCAGGGAAAGAGGCACGCTGTCTTGGTGACCAGACGAAACTCTGTCCGCTGTAGCGAACTCAAAGCTGATCGTTGGATAACAGAGCTCTCCTCTGGATCTTACAGAATGCTACGATTAATCGAGAAACGGGGAGTCTCATTCCGCCGTACTGTTAAGGCTGAAACAGACTCTTTCCGCATTCAGGAAATCGCATGCGAGAGCCTATTCAAATACATTATAATTCTCGCATCAATCGCTTGCGGGAGGTGCGTGCGATTGATGCGAGCGTGCTTCCATGTATTAGAATAGGCTCTCGCATGCGACTTCCTGACTGCGGAAAGAGTCTGTTTCAGGCTTAAATGTCTCGGTCTGTCGCAGAGGCTGTGTTGGCTGTTGGCGCGCGGCGGTGCTCGTTGCCTGTCAGGTCCGCTGATGCGGACTCGCTCGGCCCACGGCGGCCGGCCGGTACCGGTACCGTACGCAGTCCTTCCCGGGCAGCGGGATCTGGCAGAGCGGTCCCACTCACTCCCATGTGAAAAGTCATAAACTAGATGTGGCTGACCGTGAACGAACGGTGCACGCCGGCGCTCGGAGCTGGCTTTGAAGAGCCGCCCGGTGGTGTGTCTGCAGTGGCACAGTGGCGACCGTTGCAGCGCACTGGCGACCGTTGCAGCGCAGTGGTCGGGCCGGGCACCTCCCTGCAGCTCCGTCCGTCCGTCTGTGTGTATGGGGCTGTCAGAGCGCAGAGCGTGCAGCGCGGTCGTCAGACGGGTCACGGCACGGACGGCGCCGGTCCCGGCGGGCCCGCCAAGGTCGGGGTCAGGCGGACGGTGACGCTCGCGCTGCACATCGGTCACGGGACGAGTCGTCGGTCGGCGCCACATGACACACTGACACCGGTACCGACACTGACACCGGTACTGTTAGCGGTACTGACACTGACACTGGTACTGTCAGCGGCACAGTGACTTTGTCAGCGGTACAGACACACGTGTCACTCGGTGCCGCTCCCGTCACTCTGAGCAGGGACATCCATATTGCGCTGTAAGTTTGTTCATACCGAGCTATACAGATGGCCGCTGTCGGTCGGCTCCATCAGTCGGTCCGTCCGACCGCCCGGACTGGCCGGCCGGCGCGGTTTAATCGCCGCCCGGCCCACAGCTGCCGCCGGCCGGTCCGGCCCGGCGCTCCCAATCAGGGACGGGTCGTCAGCTGCGCCAGCTCGGACAGAGGAGGAGGGGGGAGGGGTGACCCGGCCGACCCCGGCGAAAACAGCGCCCCCGCCTTGGCCGCCCCGGCGCCGCCGCGCAGTCGGACACAGTATTTATCCGGTGGTAAATTGACTACGGCCGCCGGTTGCCTCACCGGGCCATGCGTTGGAGGTGCATTACCAGCAGTGCGGGGCGGCGGCGCGGGCGGAGCCGGCCGCGCTGGGAGCCGGGTTGCGTGTTCAACAAGGTCGGGGGCCGTGACCCCGCCTGCAATGTTGTTACGGGGTTCGTAGGCGGCCGGGCTGGTCCCTCCGCGCCCCTGTGGTAACGGGTGCCCCGCTGAACCCTCCCGCGCGTCCGGGCGGAGTTCCTCCCGCGGCCGCGGCGCTCCGACCCGTGTGGTCCGCCCGCGGCCGGCCATTAGCGGTCTGGGAACGTGGCGTGACTGTGGTGACATAGTTCCGAGTCGCCACGGCGTGACGTGATGACGGGCACATTGCTAACGGGCACGGCACTTCCGAAACAACGCGGACCAAACTTACGGCACACGACTCCGACTGCACCCGGGCCAAACTGCCGGGCTGCACCGGGCTAAACATACGGCTTACGGCTGACTGCGCTCGGACACGGTTAGGGCACACCTCACCGACTGCTCCCCGGCCAAACTTACGATCGTGACTGCTTATTCCGTAGCGGAGCGAGCCGACTTCTCACTTATCGGCCTGATAGTGACTTCTTTCATTTGTTCTGACGCATCGTATTTTCTCGACCATATGCGCACGGTTCTGGAATACAGAACGTCTGCTGGTGACCGGATTCCAAACCTGCTGGTGGTACGTCTACCAAACACCAAACCTGCTGGGTGGCGCCAGACCGCCGTGAAGCCCCGGGAGGGTCGGATGGAGTGCCGCCGGCCCTGGATACACCTGACCGCCCATCTGGCCGTTAATTGGTGACGGTCGCTCCTGGAGACGGGCCGTTCCGCGCGGGTGCCGAGTCCTTGGTGTCTGTTGGCGCGGAACTCGCTCAGACGGGGGCGCGGCGCGGAGACTTCACTCACAGACTTCACTCACTGAACAGGTGACGGCCGACGGAGCACGGAGGGCGTAGGGCGGAGGGCGGCTGCGGTACTCGGGCTCCCCCGCCGCCGTCTGAGCGCTGACCTGTCGCTAAGCGGCGCCTGCTGCGCGGTACGGACCCGTGTCGGGCCGTATCCGGAGCGGGGCGCCGTGCGCTGACCCGACCGACCCCCGTCGACCCGCAGCGTCACCGTGTTGTAACGCTGCCGCCGGCTGAATGGGTCCTAATGACGGGCCGGCGGCCGTTCTTCACTGCGCTGTCGGCGCGTGCCGCTGCTCCGGCCTCCCTCTGGGTGTGACCGTCACACCGTCCGTCACACCCGGTCACAGTGTGACGGCACACCGGCTCACAGCGGGATGGCACACCAGCTGGGAGCGCGTGGGTTGCGCAGCCCCGCGCTAAGGGACGCGCCGTGAACTGGGACACAATTATAGCCCGGCCGGCGACCTCGGCGATTTCTATTTCACTCTCCCGACTCCAACTCGGCGTGCCACCCGCTGGGCGAGCAACACATAATCAAGGGCTTGATGCGCAGTTCGGCTATTTCTCCTCTCAAAGGCTCTGGATGGATATGGAGACGGCGACGGCGACCCATCAGGCTCAGACTCAGTAAATCAGATCGGAAAAGTCTGAGACCGGGGACGTCACCGATGAAAGTGATTGGTCCAAGTGGACCGGGCCATTCATCAGGCGAGCTCCGATGCATCGGGACTGGAGGCCGTATCGACAGAGCTCCTGGCAACCGTTCCTGCCAACGTGTTTAAATTGTGTGGGGATTTTTGTAACGGGACAGGCACCGCTTCGTGTTGGTGGCTGGTGCAACGGATTCAGATTATCACCTGCCGCTCGGCTTTTGACGAATTAACTCATTCGTCCTCAAACAAAACAGTAATCTGAAACCGCGACCGAGTCTTTTCATGCTCGCCTTACAGCATGTTTACAATTGAGCCGTGAGGTAGGTATTTTCAGTTGCTCATTTCCCCACGGTGACCGGTGTAATTAGCGCACGCCACAAGCCCTCCCACCCAGTCAGCCTGTAGTTTCCAACTGACCAGAAGCACGTCTGGAGTAGCCAGCTCCCGCTCGCGGTGAGCCGCCGAGGGTCTGTTCACGGACCACAGGCGGTCCGGTCCGCACCGCGCCGCCGGCGTCAGTTGGGGCACGGCCGACCGCCGACCGACACTGCAGCCGCAGTCCAACCACGTGCGGTGCTCTCTGGTTTCCTGTCTCGGCGCGCGCTGCGTTTCTCAGTTTTTCCCCGCGATGGGTTTCCGTGTTTGGCGTCTGCCGGTATTGCGTGTGTGCGGCGCTGGCCGTGCGGCGCTCCCTCCTCTGTGGGTGCGGGTGCTGACCGTGTCTACTTCTGTGTGTTCAGCAGCGCTGACCGTGTCTACCTCTGTGTGATTCAGCAGCGCTGACCGTGTCTGTCTCTGTGTCAGCAGCGCTGACCGTGTCTGTCCCTGTGTGCGTTTCAGCAGCGCTGACCGTGTCTGTCTCTCTGTGTTTCAGCGGCGCTGACCGTTTCTGTCTCTGTGTGTTTCAGCAGCGCTCGTCGAGCCGTTCGGGCACCGGCCGGCGGACCGCGGCACGCGCCGGTGACGCCTCGGATGGCGCCGAGCCGCCGGAGCGGGCCACCCGCACCACGCAGGTCGTTTACCCGCAGACGGCGTCCTACAAGGTAACTGCCCAGACACTACAGGCGACTTTGGAAGGGGGGGGGGGCTTCAATGTAACGGCCGAGCCGGCGATGGCGACTTTAGTAGAGGGAGGGGGGGGGGGGGACGCCCTGAGAGGTAACGGCCGAGACAGCGGCGACGGCTTTGGTAGGAGCGGTGTGGAATTGGAAAGGGGAGTGAGCTGAAGCAGTGGGGTCAATGAATAAATAACTTTTCGATAGTACGACATCGGAACTAGCACGGAAAGTACGACATCGGGACTGGCACGGGGTGAAATCGCGCTCCAGGAAGTCACGATACTAGTTATACGGCATATGAATAGCTTCCATATGATAATAGCGCCGAGATTTATAAAGCATCATATCGCAGAATGAATTGGGCTTGTAAATCATTGTGCAGTGCACGACAGACGTAAGTCCGGGTCCAGCGTGTTCCGTCCGCCGGGTCTGGTGGGGCTGTCTGCGGGATCTGTCGGCGTGCGGGGCCTCTGAGACAGGCCGGTCGGACCGCGGACCGAGGCACTGGCGCCGAGCTCCGGCGGAGTCGGCGGACCACCGGGCTTTCTCCGGCCCGCGGTCACCGCGCGGCGGTCAGCACGGCGCCCTGATCTGGCCGCTCCGGGCCCGGCGCGCCGCAGCCCCGGCAGCCTCCCACTACCATGTGGCGCGGGTCAGACCGGTGCTCGGCTGGGTCTCCCCATCTGTGGTGGGTGGCACGGCACGCGGCACGGAGCCGGACAAAAATACGGCGAGTGCCCGGTGAACTCGGGAGCCGCGCCCACGCGCGCTGCTCTATTCGCCACCGACACCGCAAATAGAACTGACGTGACGTCATATGACGTCAGAAAAACGCGCACCTTCGACCGACGCAAACTGCGCGGAACGGTCGTTTTCGACGGCGGCCCGAGTTTTTGTCCGCTCGGTTGGGTGTGAAAGCGCTCCTCAGCGGAGCGCAGGATCTATTGGATCGGGCTGATGCGGGAAAGAGGGCTTACATCACATTTGTATTCTGGGGTGGTGTCGCCTATCGGGTGTTCCGCGGAGTTTGGCGCCGTGGGGCTGTGCCGGGCGGGGAGCGGCCGCTCGGGTAGGACCGTCTCCACCGCCCGGCGATAAGCGCTCCCCGGGGACGGGCGGCGTCCGGGAACCACTCTGTTTAGATGATGCAAGTGATCACCGGAGCCGGTCCCAGCTCACGGTGTCGCCTGTTTAGCCGATGTCGCTCAATCTGTCGTCATTCATTGGACAGTACCGTAATGACGAGTTGACGAGTTGGCGGCGGCCGGCGGCGGCGTCAGTCTGTGTCCGGCCGCGTCCCGAGCCGGTCCCCCTGCTCTCCCGTGCCCCCGCCCGAGCCGCCCAGCCATGTGTATCCGTCCGGACGCGATGCGTTGGACGCCGCCGGTGGCCGTCACGGCTAAGGCGCTGTCCGAGCTGGTCCCCGACCTCGGCCCGGAGCTGACCCCCGAGCCGGCCGCTGACGAGTCTCCCGTCCTGCTGCGGCGCCAGGTGCCCGAGATCGTCCGTAAGCGGCAGTACCGCGTCGGCCTGAACCTGTTCAACACGCGGCCCGAGCGCGGCATCGACTACCTGATCGGACGCGGCTTCCTGGACGAGTCGCCGCACAGCGTGGCGCGCTTCCTCATCACCAGGAAGGGCCTCAGCAAGCAGATGATCGGCGAGTACCTGGGCAACCTGCAGGCGCCCTTCAACGCCGCCGTCCTCGAGTGAGTACCTACCCGAACAACACACCGTCCCTGTCTAGTTAGAAAGCACTGTGGGTAAATATCTGTGTTACGATGTGTCCAGTGTAGTGTGCTGACGTGCCATGTGGGTTTTACAGCCCGTTCGGCGGTTTTATAACAAAGTGTGCTGTCCGCTGTGGGGATGTGGTCGGCGGCTTTACACTCCCGTCCCCTTTGTGAACGGTTTACGCGGCCGTTCCGGCGTCATAACGGGACGCTTAGTATTGACCCGGTGCGGGCGGGCCGGGGGTGGGTCGCTGGATTGAGCCGCAAACGAACTCCGGTCTGTCGGCTCCAATTTGGCGACCGGCACGCGCCACAGGCACTCGGCTCCAGCTGTCCGCGGGGGGGGGGGGGGAGGATCTAAATTCTAAAGGGTGGCGTCGGCAGCTCGTCGGCCCGCCGCCGGCCCGGAGCCCAACTGATGCCTGTTCAGAGCAGAGTCGCCGTCTTCCTTTGTCACTGGCGGTCAGTGGCCCAGGGCAGAGTACCGCAGCCCGTGTTATTCGGCGGCCGGCCTGCTCCGTCCGCTGGTGGCTGATCTCTCTATCCGGAGCGATCAGTCAGACAGAGTGGTGGGGTCCGGCGGGAAGAGTGCCGGGTGACGCCCGAGTAGTTCCGTCCGTGCCTGCGCTGAAGGCCTGTGGAAAGGTCAGGGCAGCTCGGAGTGCGATGGCAGACACGGCTGGTGTATGAGTTCGCCCTGTCGTGTCACGCCGTGGATCCAGAGGCGCCGGCCTCTAAAGGTCGTCCGCATCGCCGGATGCGCCGCCGCGGTTCGGCGCTGCACTAGAGCCATGCCGTGCGACTAATTCCGGTCGCCGCTGCTAGGCAGTGTGTCCGCCCACGCTCGGCGACCGCGCAGGCCGGGCGCCGGGCCGGGGGTCTCCCCATCCGCCGCCGGCCGGCTGTGCGGCTCGGTGGCGAGCATTGTTCTCGGCCGATCGGCGCTCTCTAGGCGTTGTGGTCCGCCAGCAGCCAACAGTGCATTGTGGCCCCTGATTGGCTTTTGTCCGGATTAGAAACTTACACGGCGCCTGTGAGCAGGTGGCCGTGTGTTGATGCTCGCCATGGGACCACAATGTCCCCTCCCCCTCTGTGTGTGTGTGTGTGTCCGCTGGGGCGTGCCAGCAGCCTGCGCCGCAATACCGGCCGACAGTGGCCGACACGTGTGGTCGATCTATGGTCCCCCTCCCTGTCCACCGGTCGGGGAGCGCCGGCGGCGGCCCGCGCCTTATCAATCCATATTGGCGGTGACGGTAATACCGGCCGCGCGCCGCCCGCGCCCCTGGTTAATGACGCCCGTTATTGACGCCAATAGGCCGTTAGTCGCCGAAATGACACCTGGCGGTCATTGTTGGTTGGTATGGTAGGGGCAGGTCCTCGCCCGGACTGAATGTGAGGAGCCTGGTCTGACCGGCCGGGTCTGTCGATGGCCTACGGACGGCTGTACGAGCTCCCACCACTGACAGGCTGCGCGGATCGGCTCGGACGGAGGGCGGCCACTCCCGGTCCGGTAAACTGTGTCATTAGGCGACACGTGTTGTAACATCCTGGGCTCGTTAGGGGTTACACCACGGGCCCGTGGCAGCAGAGGTCGGCCCGGTGACGACCCGGGGTCAGGTCACGGTGGCAGCTGAGGTCGGTCCCATGACCCCGGGTCAGGCCACAGGTCCGGTGGCAGCGGGCCGCCGGGACACCGCTCCGGGCGCCAGGGGATCCCACGCTGTGGGCTCATCGGCCTGGCGCCTCGCCGGACGCCGGCAGGGGCTGTGAGTGCCGCTAGCGCCTGCACAACTCGAGACGGTTCATGTGTATGGAGATGTGTGTCTCGGGACGATCCTGATACATTTACAGGGACGACAGATGCCTGTGACGCTGTGGGGATGTTGGTGTGCCACCCAGTTCAACTCCGTGCCACGTCTAACGGTGCATCTCTCCGGGCAGAGCGTTCGTGCAGGAGCTGGACTTTTACAACATGCAGCTGGACGTGGCACTGCGCAAGTTCCAGACCTACTTCCGGCTGCCGGGCGAGGCGCAGAAGATCGAGCGGCTCATGGAGGTGAGTGTGGACTTGTCGAGTGGTGCCCCGGGACGGGGTGGACGGTGGGCGGCGGCAGACTCGGCGGCGGCACACAGTCTGCGGGGCGGCGGGCGGGTGGGTGACAATCGATGTTCGCTCTGTCCCCGGGGCAGGGCCGGTCAGATAGCCCCCGGCCATGGCTGCGATAGGGCCGGGTGCCAGCGGTGCTGATAGGGCTGGCCGGCCGGGGTCAGGGCTGCCTTCTGCTGGCGCAGCGCTCGGCCGAGTCGCCGCGGCCGGCCACTGGTTTTTGACACCAGTCCGCTCCGACGATCGTTAACTGGAAAACTGGTTTTGGAGAAACAGTGAAAGGCGAATGAAAAGTGTCATGGAAGTGGTTCTTGGTTGCGTGTTCAGTTGTTTGCGTGTTAGTCTGGTCATAGTTTTATCACCACCAGCTTCACCGCGGTGATAGTTTTACGGTATAGGTATTAAGCAGCTCAGCCTCGCAGTTCAACAGCACACGTTACACCAGCAGTCCGGAGCGTGTTACGGAGCGGGTGCTAACCACTGCAGTGCCAGTGGGATGAACAGCGGACCACTGTGTCAGATTTACAACACACTGTATATGATTTACGACGGGTGGGGGTTGGTAGCCCGTTTCGCTGATTGAGTGTGAGTCAGCGCGGTGAGTCAGTGTGTCGGCCGCTCGCCCGAGATGGGTAGCCCGCTGGATTGGAGTGCGCCCGCTCTATGCGTCGGGGTGGGGATCGGACGGCTCCGTACTGACCCGGCGGGGCCGTGTGGGCGGACCGAATCCCTCAGTCTGCTGCGTGCCGCTCACTCAGCACCATCACAGAGTTTGCGGGGATATCACTGACGCTTCCACAGCAGACACCGTGCCATGTCGACGGACGTGGTTCGGTGGCCGCCCGCCTGACGTTGTTTTCCTTACCGCCAGGTGTTTGGCAACCGGTACTGCCAGTGTAACCACGAGCTGGTCTCCAGTCTGAAGACGGACTCCACCGTGTTCGTCCTGGCCTTCGCCATCATCATGCTCAACACGGACCTCTTCACGCCCAACATCAAACCCGAGCGGAAGATGAAGCTGGACGATTTTGTCAAGAACTTGCGCGGTGAGTTGGTAACTCCGCCGGCCCGCTGCCAGGGGTACCGGACCCGCGGGCTGACGCCGCCCGCCGCCGGTAGGATCCCGTTCGTCGCGCGGTTTTCCGTGTGATGGAGCCGCGCGGGGTGGGCGGCAGCAGAGTTACGGTGGCGAACACCGACTTTGTGAGGGTATAAACTGCTGCGCGCCGGTCGCTGGGGACTCGGCGCCGGCGGGCGACTGTCGGCGGCTGTCGGCGGCTGTCGGCGGCTGCTGGGGGCAGCGCTGCGGGGCAGAACTGCTGGGACCGGTTACCAGGCCGACAGTCGACACTCAATGTGGAGCCATTCAGTAGGCACGCTGTTCTCGATAAAGCTGTGTCGTGGGCAATGGTGGGTGGGGTGGTATTGCGCTATACTACAGTGGTGCTCGGCCAGTAGCGTTCTATCGCGTCCCCTCCGCTGCTCAGTGATGACTCCTCTCTTGCCTTCATCTCTGTCCGACCAGCCGGCAGTGACCCCTCGCCCTGTGCCTGTGGTGACCCCTCGCCCTATCCCTGTGGTGACCCCCTCGCTCTGTCCCTGTGATAACCCCTCGCCCTCTCCCGGTGGTGACCCGGTGCCCCGTCGGAGCAGTGCGGTGACCCGCCCCTCTGACTGACCGCCAGGAATCGACGACGGCGCCGACGTGGACCCGCAGCTGGTGTCGGGCATTTACGAGCGGGTGCGCGCGCAGGAGTTCCGTGCCGGGCCCGACCACGTCACGCCCGTGCTCAAAGTGCAGCAGACCATCATCGGCAAGAAGCCGGTGAGTGCCGAGCTGGGGGCGTCTGTGTAGGCACCGCGGTCTGCCCGGGCGCGGCGGGGTGGGCGGTGGACACGGTAGGCTCTGCTCCCGGGGCGTCAGAGCCGACAGAGCCGCCGTGCGGTGTGGGAGCGCCGGGTCCCAGCCGGAGAGAGAGGGACAGAGGGAGGGAGGTGGGGGAGGGGCACCTGCTGCCGCGCCGGAGCTCCGTATCGACCGATGACTCACCGCCACCGGCTGGGGACGGTCTCCGAGGGGGATGGGCGGCTGGGGACGGTCTCAGGACGGCGGGGAGGGCTGGGGACGGTCTCAGGCGGGGAGGGGCGGGCCGGCCTCAGTCGACTGACATGAGACCGCTCTCCGCCGTCCGGAGACTGACGTGTGACCGCTCCCTGGGAGACTGACGTGTGACCGCTCCCTGGGAGACTGACGTGTGACCGCTCCCGCCGTCCGGGGGCTGACGTGTGACCTCCCGCCGCCCCGCAGCCGCTGGCGCTGCCGCACCGCCGCCTGGTCTGCTACTGTCGCCTGTACGAGGTACCGGACGTCTCCAAAAAGGAGCGGCCCGGCGTCCACCAGCGAGAGGTGTTCCTCTTCAACGACCTCATGCTCGTCACTAAGATCTTCAGCAAGAAGAAGAACGCCATGACGTACTCGTGTCGGCAGAGCATCCCGCTGGCCGGCCTGACCGTCTCCGCGTTCGACATCGCCCGTGAGTTTCCAGCCGGCATTGTCGGAGCGGGCGGATAGTGGAGTGCCTACCTACCGTCACTCGTCTACCGCACTGGGGATGTGTTTGGCCATCGCATTGGCTTGCGGTCCATGTATCAATGAAATAAATGTTTACGTAAGTGATTGCTGCGATGGCGGAAATTGCATTCAACGATGTCTGTTATGGTAAGATAAGTCCTATGATTACTGAAGACAGTGCTGGCGTTTAGCCACTCCATCCATCGACTACTATCTTATTGAAGCATGGAGTAAGGCTGACATTGACTCCAACACCACACTGTACCGGTCGCCACCCGTGGACCTCAGTCGCCTGACCGCTCCGTCCGTCCGTGTTTCAGACTATCCGTACGGGATCCGGCTGTCTCAGCGTGTCGACGGAAAGGTGCTGCTCACCTTCAACGCGCGCAACGAGCACGACCGGACCAAGTTCTGCGAGGACCTGCGCGAGAGTATCCTGGAAATGGACGAGATGGAGGCACTGAGGATCGACGCCGAGCTGGAGCGGCAGAAAGCCAACGGCGCCCGGCACGGGTCAGTGGACGGCCGCGCGGCGCACAGGGGGAGGGGGGAGGGGTGCGGGGCGAGGTACAGGGGACGGGATTTAAACGATATATGGCACACAAGGGGTCGAAATGGGTGGCGTAGTTATTTCGTTTATATATTTAAGCAAGTGATATGGACCAGCATCCAGTATATGGACCAGTATCCGTCATATAATAATGGCGTTTTATTTTTTGTCGAACAGCAGAGCCAATGGTTTCAGAATCTCTGTGCGTTTGTTGTGACTGGGGATGCCCTTTACTGGTTCTCCATGTGGTTGTGTTCGCTCTGTTCCCCTCTGACCGCTGTTCCCCTCTGACCTCGGTTCCCTCCGCCGGCAGCCGGAGCTCGGAGAACCGCGACTCGGGCGTGGCCGACGTGGAGGAGGTCTCGGCGGACGGCAGCCCCAAGGCGGCCTCTGGCGGCGCCGGCGGCGGCGGTCTGCGCCGCTCAGCGCTCTCCAACTCCCTGCTGGACATGAGCGAGGCGCGGCCGCAGCGGCGCGGCAGCGTCGGCTCGCTCGACTCTGGCATGTCGGTCAGCTTCCAGTCGAGCAGCACGGCGTCGGTGCCGGCCGGCAGCCCGCCAGGCCCGGCGCGCGGCGCGCCCGCCGGCCAGCGGCCGCCGCAGGTGCCGCCGCACCGGCCGCCCTGAGAGCGCGCCGCCGCCGCCCGGCTGTCGGGACACTGACTGAGGCCCGGCCCGCCGACCAGGCGACGATCAGACTGGAGTAGAGCGGGCCGTGGGGCCCCGAGAGGAGAGGGCCCGACTGCCGAGCCCGGAGAGGAGCAGAGTGCAGAGTTCAGAGAGGAGCAGAGTGGAGAGCCCGGAGGAGCGGAGAGCAGAGTGGAGAGGAGAGGCGCACGGGCTCGCAGCTCAGTGAAGAGGCGCGGAGAGTGGAGGGGATGTGTAAGTGCGGAGCCCAGAGGAGCCGAGTAGTGGTCCGGGGTGGGCCGGGCGAGTGATCAGAGGTGGTCCAATCAGCACTGCCCGGTGCCGGCCGGTGGGCAGGTCAGCAGCGATCAGCGCTGGCCGGCCGGCCGGAGTAGATCAGCGTCGGACCGCCGCGGCCCGGTGTCGGCCCAGCGGTGGACTCCGATCAGACGAGGCACTGCCGTCATCGGGAGACGATTTATCCATTCATATTGAGTCAACTAACAACGTTCTAGTCGTTACGCGTGGTCGCCCGGGCGTTAGTCTTTCGAACGAGGGAGAATAACTATGTACATACGATATCAAATCAGCCGCCGAAGCGGAGCTCGAATAGACTTGGCACGGACAGTTAGTGCGCGACCAAATGGACCGTTATTTTGATATCTATTCCAGATGGGTGCGTTACTCTGTGACCATTGTATTGTGAGGGTGTTACAGTCGCCTTATTTTACAAATACATGTTGTTTGAAATGCTGCTGTGTGGCCGAGTCTGAAGTCTTGGTGTGAGGACGGTGACTGGGACGTGACGCGAAGATGGCTCACCACGCCGGGCGGCACTGGCGACACTGGGCGACCGGTCAGTACCGGCCGCGGACGCCCGGTCCCGTGCTGACAGAGCAGGGATCAGACCAGTGGTCTCTCGACTCGGGATGGCCAGGCGACAGCCGACGCCGGTCTGTCTCGATATGGGTGGTGAGCATAACCACCACCTACTTACAACTACCGGTACAACTACCGGTATTACCGGTGGCCGGTAACGGACTTCAGTTAGGTGTCTGCGCGAGAACAAAAATAAACGATTGTGATTAACTAATCCTGTGCTTGTGGACGTGAAATATCTGAGCAGTAGCTTGTCCGAAAAGCCCACAAGTGCAACTCGCGTTTGGACAGCGATCGTTCTCTTCTCATCGTTTACAGCCAGCGCGTCTGTCCGTATCTGACTGTGTTGTGTTTCGTCCGGTCCTGTGGCGGGCCCGCTGGGCGACTGGCGGCTCCTGCGCGCGTCTGACAGCATATCGGCCACCTGAGAGGCGCGCGCCGCTGCTCCGGTTCACCGCTACACACGGCACACGGCAGGCCGCCTGGAAACACACACGCCGTCTCTGCCACCGCGTGTGTATTATCGGACACGGAGCGGCGGGTTCTCAGATACTCGGGGACACAGGGGTGGGCGGTCAGCGGCGGATCAACCCGCGGGGGACGCAGTGGGGCCAGACAGCGCGCCCACCCACCGACCAGCACTGGAGCACCCCGTACACAGGGGCCCAAACAACCCAGCTGCCATCTCTCGAATAAATAACTTAAATAGCAGGCGTGCGCAAGTCAAATAAATAATGATACATCATACAAACACTGTCTTCGCCTCTCATGACAAACACCTGAGCATTTCTCGACAAACTAACACATGGGAGTCATAAAACCGAGCAGCTGTCGCTCCTCTCAAACAAAGATTACAGTTGCAGAATAAATAATGACGTGCACGATCAACATGCTCACTAACAATGGCGGACTATCGCTCTTCCAGTAAAGGTAGTCGTTCAAAGGAACTATGCGAAAATAGACAAGAGTCGAGCAAGAGCGCTGAGGCCATTGAGAAGATTCTAAATCAATAGTCGTATCAATGATCAGCATTGAGACTCAAGGCTTAACAAAAAAAGCTAAAAACGATATGACCACGCCAACTATCACATCAAAATGACTAGAAAACAGTTGACCTGCATGACTAGAATATGTAACAGCACGCGATGGAAGCTATTTCTCATGCAAATTCTGGTGCCTATAATAAATAAATAAATAAATAAATAAATAAATACATGCATACATAAATAAATAAATACATAAATAAATACATAAACAAATAAATACCTAGCCACTAATTAAACTATAAGACGACAAATAACAATTAAAACAATATAAAACGATAAATAGGTATAAATAAGGAGGAAAGAGGACATGACACTGACCTAGAAAAAAAAAACGTACAAAATAGTCACCTTATAGGTACGCAAAAGGCCCTCATCGAGCTACCCATTCTGCGCCATAGCACATCTGCACAATATTGCCTCGCCCGTCGGTGGTCAGCAGCTCCATAACAGAAAGCCGGTGTGGGGGGATCTGAGAAAGTCTGAGCAAGCCTTCTGCCCTCTGACTCGGGGCGAGCGGAGGGAGCGCGAGTCAGAGGTACCGGCGGCCGGCGCGGGGCGGCGCTGCCCGGTCGGAGCGGTACGCCGGGCCGGTCAGCGGCGGCCGGCGCTGGCGCTCCGCTCGGCGCGCGCGCGCCGCAGCGGGCTCGGCGTGTGGGTCGGACTGCGGCTCTCGCTGCGCTCACTCTCGTCCGAAGAAGAGGAGGACGGCGCCGGCCGGTTGTACGGGATCGGTCGCTTTCGGGCGCTGTAACGAGGTGCCAGTCAGGGCGGGCGGTGCCGGTGGCGTCACACAGACTGGGGCACACCGCTGCCGCTGCCACCGGGACAGCAGACGTGGGCCGGGTCTCACCACAAAACTCGGACACTGCAGCCCGGTAAATAGGGACCGCTTTTCAAGCGATATTATGATGCGTTTTTAAAGTTACACAAATATTCATTAAATCGATACTGTTGTAATGGAACCATTGAAACACTTAGGCCTGTTGTAGAGAGTTACGCGCATGACGGTCTCAACCTGAGTTTAGCACTGCCTAATTGGTTGTACCGGTCGTGTATCACATAAACAGAGACCAAGCAGCAAACCCACTGCACAGGAGTTACTATCTAACACTCGGTTAATTAGATGTATGGGTAGTTGGAACACAGGCCCACTCAAATGTTAGTGCATTAGTCTTTGGCAGCCCGGCAAAGGATCGTGGCAATGTTAGGCTGTGTGCGGAAACATAGTCGCTCAACATACCTACCTCGGGCAGAGTATCTCCGTATGGTACATGCAAAAATAGGGGAAAGTGGGGTAAGACGGGCGGGGTAGGAAAGACGGGCACCGGCCCTCTAGCCCAAACCGTTGGCGCTAGCAACCTCTTGTTGTGGTTGGTAATCGGCCGTGTGGTTCTTTGCTGTGAGGTGAAGGCAGAGGTACGCATCTTAAATAGTTTTTGAAAAATTGTGGAAAAGCTAAAAACGTGCCTTGCACTCTAAGCAGAACTATCGTGTTTCGTAGTGTTTTCTGACCTCGCTGTTTCATATTTTGTTTTGGAAATTTGATGAGAGTTTCGTCTTAGGGTGTCATCCAAATGTGTATGCTGGCGAATGAATCCTTTAATTTGGTGCCCGGAGGCGGTGTGATATCCTTATTGGCAGCCGAATGGGGTAAGACGGGCAACAATGATGAAAGGAATGCAAACCATCTGATATTGTTATTTTAAGCTAACTTACGCTGTTCTACATCATTTGCAACGCATTTCCATCGAAATTATTTAAATAGACAGCTTTGAATTTGTTTAATTTTTTCATTACATCGATCAATACCATTACGCCTATAAGTAGCCGTGCGATGCTACGAACCTTACAATATTGACTGTAAGATCAAAAGCCAGATGTGTAAGATGTATTAGCATAATTATTCGGCAGTAAATATGTAAAGAAGTTCAAACTAACGTTGTGCCCGTCTTGCCCCAACATCAGTGCCCGTCTTACCCTCCCCGGTGGGGTAAGACGGGTTTTTGCAGGGTCTTGCTAAAAACACTCTCAATTGAAAAGTATTGGATTTAGACCTTAGGTGTCAAAGGGGCACTGAAAGAAAAATGCCTGAAGATGGTTGTGCTAAATTGGTGAAGCAATCGAAGAAAAGACTTCAGAGGTACAGACCCGCAAAACTAACATGCCCGTCATACCCCACTTTCCCCTACCAGAGCTTTTGTATGATTGTTGCATGGAGGTTCATCACAAAGCCAAGTAGACAGCTCCAGTATGTGTGCATTGACAAATATTTCTTATTAACCATGATATCGACAAAGAGTCAAACAAGGACGCAGTTCAGTTAGAAACACCAAACGGTTGTTATTTGTAAATATACAGCACGGGGAAGTCGATGTTAGTGGGCTGGCTTTCCGAGCGGTGATGGTCGTCAGTCAACAGCAGTATCCCTTCACCATGGCAAGGCATCAACCGCCCAGACTCTACCCCGACGCGTTATGGCGGCGAGAGGCGACCGCGAAACCCAGCCGTCGCAATGTCAGTAGTGCACAGACAAACGAAAAGATCAAACAGAAACGGCACAAAACCGAAAACAAACCGGGAGCATGCACCGCCAGGACCGGGTTGTTGCCGAGAGGAGCGATCGGCCCGCTCGGCGCGGCATGACTCGGCCAATCTGCTGAGATACAGAGAGCAAAACCAAATCAGAAACAGAACATGACGCGTGACAAACAGAGAGAGAGAGAGAGAGAGGGGGGCGGAGAGCGCGCTCCGAGACGACAGAGTCGTGTACAGGCACACCGGAGAGAGCGCCGCGCCGCGCCGCGCCGCCGCCCCGGGCCCGAGACTGACGGACGCCACTTACCCGGCACACCATTACTCTAGGCGCGGCGGCTAGGGAGACGGTAAACGGGACGTTCAGGACACGGCGCGGCTCGATATACCGGCAAACATGGTCGGCCCGCCGCACAGAGGCCCAGCCGCCGCCGCAGCGGCCCCATGGCGGCTCATAGGATGGAGGCGGGCTCGAGGAATCATTACGCCACTTTCCGCTTCATTTAAACTCACTAGACGTGTCCAATACATGACGGTGTGTACGCCGGAATGAAAGCTAGGGGTAAGAGCGGCTGTGATTGTTGCTGTTGGACTTATGCCGACCCTCATACTCACGCTGAGACAGGCTGTCCTCTCCAGTCAGCTGCTATGGTGACTTAGGAGAATACTTATGTTTTACTCTTCAAATCATTGTTTTTCGCACTTAACGCAGTTAACGAGAACATACATCTTCTACTACTAAAATGTCAAATATGAGACATTTCAAAATGCTCATCAGCAAGCTGTTTATATCTGGCCGAGGCTCTCCGTCAACTCTGTCTCGTTCGTCCCCACTCCCTAGACGAAGCCCTCTCGTCCCCCAGGCGCACCCAGGTGCTGCCCTCCCTCCCCCTGGCTTTACCCAGGCGCTGCCCCCCCCCCTCCCCTGGCTCTGCTCAGGTGCTGCCCCCTGGCTTTGCCCGGTGGTCCCTCCCTCCCTGGCTTTTCCCAGGTGCTGCCCCCCCCCCCTCCCCTGGCTTTGCCCGGTGGTTCCTCCCTCCCTGACTTTGCCCAGGTGCTGCCCCCCTCCCCTGGCGCGGTCGGTGAGCGCTCGGTGCTCCCCTCTCACCGTTCGGCGGCGGCCGGCGAGTGCTCTCACCTGGTGATCCGCCGACTCTCGCGGAACGACGGCGAGCCGCGGCGCCGCGGGATCGACGGCGAGCGACGGCTGCGGCGCGACGAGCTGCTGCCCGACCGCGAGCGGCGGGAGCGGGACCACGACCGCGACCGAGACCGAGTCCAGGAGCGACTGCGGGACCGCGAGTGGGTCCCCGACCGAGACCTCGACCGAGACCGAGAAGAGCTGCCGGGGAGGTACAGATCAAGTTAGTTCGGTTTGGGAGATCCGGTGTTTAAGTCGTGTCAATGAACGATAGCATCTAGCTGATTCGGTGAATCTACGCATTCCTTGGCGTATATGAGCGTTCATTGCAATACACTGCGGAGAATGTGTTGAGGGCCCCTAAGTTCCCTGGAGGTGAAACACCCATCTCGGCCGGACAGTGCCCACTGGCTCCTCTGGTCCCCGCCGGGACTGACCTGCGACCGGGGCGCGACCTGGCGCTGGCGGGCGACCGACTGCGGCTGCGACTGCGACTGCGGCTGGGCCGGAGCCGCTCACTGGCTGGTGACCGGCTCCGGCTGTGCCGGGAGCGGCTCCGGCTCCGGCTCCGGCTGCGGCTCCGGCTGCGGCTGCGGCTGCGGCTGCTGCTGCGCCGGGACCGCGCGGCGGCGGCCGCGGCCGGCGGCGAGTCGTCGGCGGAGCGCCGGTAGCTGGACGGCGGGCTGAGGTGGCGGCGCCCTGGCCGGCTCCGCTGGGCCGCCGGCTGCGCGGCCGTCAGACGACTCAGCGCGGACAGCTGCGGCCCGTCCGCGGCCGGAGAGCTGCCGGCGCTGCGCGAGCCACCCGAGCCGGCCGGCGGGCTGGCCGGCGGCAGCGGCGGCGGCGGCTCGCGCGGCAGCGGAGGCCGCGGCGGTGACTCGTCCTCGTCGCCGAACTGGCGTGAGCGCAGCGCCAGCGGCCGCCGGCCGGGCGCCATGTGAATGGCGACCGGGGGGCGGGTCGGGTCGGCCGGCAGCGGCCGCGGCCGGCCGCCGTCGCCCGCCAGTCTGTCGTAGTTGTCCAGCGCCGAGCCGACGGGGCTGCGGTCGGACGGCGACCCGCCGCCGGGGGAGGACGGCGGCAGCGGCGGCAGCGGCGGCAGGCCGGGCTTCTCGGCGGCCCGCGCGGCGCTCTGTCCGCCGCTGAGCGGCCGACCCAGAGGAGAGCAGCTGCTCCTCACTGAACTGGAGTCGGGACAGCGACCATTACTGGTCCCCGGTACCTTGCCGGTGGGAGCCGTAGCGTCCGCGCGCGGTCGGGGGCTGCCGCTGTCGTCCCGGGAGCTGGCCGTGCTGCTGCGACCGCTCGACAGGCGGCTGGACCTCCCGGCCGACTCAGCCTGCCAACAAGGCACTCACTCAGACAGGTGCCAATGGCGGCACAATCACAGCCATGAGACGGCAGCTGGGCGCACCAGCCCGCTCCAAGGTATGTACGAGACGATTTAAAGTAGCGCTAATATTCAATTCAGAGTGAGGTCAATATATCGTAACATCCTGGATGATAAGCTGATCGATTGGTACAGCGTCATTGCCCTGTCAACACTAATCCTTCTTACCCTGTTTTCCCGAGAGGAGCTTCTGTCTGATCGGCGCTTTCGCTTTTTCTTTTTCTTCGAGGATGATGAGCTGCAGATATATCAAAGAAGAACAAGTTGATCAGCGGGTAACGTTTGGTGACCGAAAGGCAGGCACGCATACGTGGGTATATTCGATAGGCACCATTGCAAAGCAGCGACAGTCCACCTATTAAATCTCGCCATAGCTGGAACAGAAAAATATCAGCTGGACATAAAGTTAAACCAGATGACCAGAGCCACGGCTATCAATTACTCCCGTTCAATCATTCGATTTCGTGACACGGTGAGGACGTTCCTTCTTTGAACGTCAAAATCGGGCACACAGGAAGCCGTTCAGCGCCGGTGCTTGGCTTTGGCTGACTGGGGGGGGGGACATTTGACGGTAAGGAGACGAGGCCACGTGGAGCCAAGTAGAGGTCGATCTGAGGTAGGTGTCGCTGCACCGCGGCAGACTGGCGCGTGACCGGGCCTGCCGCGTCTCCTGCAACTGACCTGTGTGACTGACCGGACTGAGGGGCAGAGACTGAGCGCACTGAGAGGTAGAGACTGACCTGTGTGACTGAGCAGACTGAGGTACAGAGACTGACCGGACTGAGAGGCAGAGACTGACCTGTGTGACTGACAGGACTGAGAGGCAGAGACTGACCTGTGTGACTGACCGGACTGAGCAGCAGAGACTGAGCAGTGTGACTGACCGGACTGAGGGGCAGAGATTGACCTGTGTGACTGAGCGGATTGAGGGACAGATACTGACCGGACTGCTGAGAGGCAGAGACTGACCTGTGGGACTGACCGGACTGAGCAGCAGAGACTGAGCAGTGTGACTGACCGAACTGAGCAGCAGAGACTGACCTGTGTGACTGGGAGGCGTCGCTGTCCTGCTCAGCGCGTCGCTTCTTCTTCCGCTTCTCCTTCTTTGAGCGCCGAGACCGGGACTTGTCCCGCTTGTGCTTCTTGGACTTCTTGTGTTTCCGACTGCCCGAGGGGGATCGGTCGCTCCTGATGATCAAACGAATGGGGTGAGGCAGAGCACGTACAACACGTAATTAAGTGCACACAAGTACCGGACAGCCAGTATAGGGCAGCCCGGTACAAGATCCTCTACTACGTACGTACCTACATACCTACCTTACCTAACTGAGGACTGCACAACGCATCAATCCGTGCTTCTGAATTCCATCGAGTATTTGGTGACAGAAACAAAAGCTGATGCCGGTTTTGTTTCCATCTCTATTCCAGGTCGGCCCTCGGTTGATGCCAATTATGTTCCTGCTCTACTTCAGTGGAAGTTCTGTGCCGTCTCTTGTTTGCCAATGTGCACTCGATGAGCTAGGGATTTCCTGAGTCAGTGTAAACAGGTCGATATGAGAGAAGTCACCGGCGGCCGTCCGTCAAACACATTTCTAATAAATAACTACTGACGGCACCTAGCACAGCTATCACTGTCAATATCCATCAGTGTAGCTGCCCACCGGACCACGCCCCACGCCAGCTTACAACTTCACGTACCTATTTGTAGTTATCACCTGCGCGACCGCTCCAGATAACACCTATTGACCGGCCGACAGCGGTCCAGCACCGAGCAGTAACACCGCCGTGCAGACGACTCGGAACCGAGCGGCATCGCTAGGAGCGGGCTGCTGCCGTCACAAAGCATCAGGAGCCCGACGGTCGCACGTTGACGCACGTCCTTTGGTTTATCGGCACGTTGCACGGGCACTGCTCTCACCTGGAGCGTTTCTCGCTGGCGCCGCTTCCGCCACGGATCTGCGCCGGCCGCTCGCTACCCTGGGGCACCTCGCTGGGATACAGCAGAGACATGGCGACGCTGCGTCCCGCCGCGCCCGTCATCTCGGCACTGGTCCCGCCGCCGTCCGCGCTGTGGACAGACGGCGCGTCCAGTCAGCGCACAGAAACATAGCCGACGGTGGGCGGGGTGCTGGAACCGCAGGAGGGTGAGGCCGCGAAACATGCGCTGGGCAGATACAGACATAATCAGGCGCGTCTCAATAAGCGTCAACATACATTCAGCCAACGGACTGAGGATCTAAGGGTCCGTCCGATTGTCCGAGATCTAGACGTGAGCATGGAGACTGAGACGGGGATGAGTACCGTCGTGCCGGCAGCCCAAGACGCGGATGAGAGTGACACTGAGGGGTCACTGCGGATCAGCCGAGGATGCAGGTGTGAGTGACGCAGAGGGGTCGTTGCGGATTGGGTCACGTTCATGAGACCTCCCCAGCCATCTGAATCCAAAGCCAGCCACAGCTTCAGGTTTCACGGGCCGGCCAGGCGGCCAACCGTCAAAAGCCAGGGCTCTCAAACCACGGAACGATAGCGAGACTTTCGAGACGCGATACTTTCAGGAGAGACTATACCCACCTACTGACGCGACCGGGACATCTGCTCAGTTCAGTCACAGGCGGGAAGGGATGTAGGCTGACGCCGGAGGCCGGAGCAGCTCTGCAGTGGGTCGAAGGGGCGCCGTCGGCCCACGCGGAAGCCCTAGAGCCTGGGCTCGGACGGGACGGCGCCGAGCGAGTCGGGCGGGACGAGCTGTACAGCCCTCTGCAAACTGCGTAGTAGGTATTCTTTTTCGACAACTCCGAGAATAACGCGAATACTATGCTATCGGTCACTCAAAAATCGTAGCAGCAAGACGCGCGAGACTCCACACCTTAGATTGGCACTATCATCGTGTTCATTTTCCGTCAAGTTTGGCAACAAAACCCAAAAGTTTATATTTGCCCCCAAAACAAACTTTTGCATTTTGCTGCCACACAAGGCCCATACTTTGTTAAGTGATGGACCCATTCGAAGGAGTGGAGCATGGCGCATCTATTTGCAGTGAGTTCCGACCGACTGATAACATAGCCTTTGAGCTATTATCGGTTTTGTCGAAAAAAGAATACCTACCACGCAGTCTGCTGAGGGCTGTACGTGAGCACGGCCCACTGCTCGGACGGCCGGCGTCTTCCCCGTGCAGCGGCGCCGGCGCTCTATTGATCCGGCCCGGCGCCGCACTGCCCCGGCCAGGCACCCAACAGCGACTAATGGGGTAAGGCGCCGGAGAGCACCGCGGTGTAACGCGGCGCTGCCGAGACCTCTGATCCACTGGCCACACATTGACAGGGAGGGCTTTCGATCTTCCGGAGAAATGATGCAATCACTTCTGTCCGCTCATCAGGCGTGACGACCCCACCTACCTGCGCCGAGGTCGATATCAGCTGATATTGCCAAACACCAGCTGACTGACCAGATGATGGTGAATAAATTCACGTTTGTTCGAGCTCACAGGCTAGCTGGCAGTATGAGCACCAGTCGACATCACTCCCCCCCCCCCCCCCCCCACCATCGAGTTCCTGGTTGTCGAATGTCGATAGCCGACGCCATGGGACGATCCCAGCTCTCAGGGAACATGCATTACTAATGGCTGATCCATAATCCCATCAGAGGACATCACGCGAGCAGTGCCATCTTCACAAATAGGAACACAAGTGGGTACAACGATGAGCCGAGCCGGGAAGAGCGAGCCCGATGGGACGACAAGGTAACAGGGTTATGAGCTAGTATAAACTGAATGATCAACCACCGAAGGGACGCATCGGACACAGGACGGTAGTGTCCCAGCCTCCAGTAACCACCCACCAAGCTTCGAAAGGTTAAAAAAGTCTAGATGGAGTCACACTATCACAAGGATTATCTGGGGAACCAGTGAAGAGCTGCAGAAAGCACACACGGAAAGTATACCAGACAAATGGCAGCAAACGTTCGCACGGATACCGACAGCTGACAGATGCAGCTCACCCCTGGACTCGGAGAGCGTTGTCAGTGCCACACTCCCCGGCGCCCTGTCCCACCCACTGGGCACCTCTGAGAAAGTATATCAGATGGCCCTGTGGCCTGTACCCCACTCACCGAGTGCTGGGGTCGTTCTCTCCAGCGGCCGGCCGCGGTGCCGGTGACGGCCGGACGCCTGGTGACGGCGCGCCGGCAGCGGGGACAGTGGCGCGCGCGGCCGGTCGGCGCCGGCCGGCCGGCCCGGGATCGATACGGCGGGCGGCGCCGCTATCGACCCGCGCCGTCCTACCGTCGCCCCGCCGCCGGCCAGCGCGACCGGCGGCCAGAGTCGCACCGCGCGCGGGACGGCGGACCAACAGACCCGCGCAGACCAGACGGTACGAAATGATAGACCAGTGGACTGGTCCGGTCTCTGCAACTTCCGGACGGTCCGATATGGCGGACCATAGACCAGGACGGTCCAGGATAGCGGAAAATCGGTCAGGATGGTCCTGGGTGACAGGCGCGGCAGGTGTGCGACTGGCCTGAGCACACATACGGGGAGACTTTGGCAGACGAGCTGTCAGCCAATCCCCACCAAATGCTGGGAGGCGAAGGGAACTGGGAATCGCAAGCGAGACATACTTACATGGATACTGGATAGGCATCTGTTCAGAACTGAAAGAAAATGGAATGGAAGATCAGTTCCCGCCTCAGCGAGCGTGACAATTCGCCGTTCAGTTTTTCTAGGAGACAATATAACTAATACTGATACATCGAGTAAACACTGTCAGACGTTGACTCAGACGCAAGGAATCCTTTACCGCCGCGCTGCCTTTCCAGCGTAACGCCTGCCGCATGCTGTGCCGCACAGCTCCGCCACTAGTTCCTTTTCTGGCCGATAGATGTCTCGCAACACGGCGCCTGAACGATGCTGCACCGCAGTGCACCATAGGCTAGTTCCTACTGCGGCCGATAGATGTCTTGCTGCACGGCGCCTGAACGATGCTGCACCGCAGGACATCGCGGGCTAGTTCCTGCCGTGGTCGATAGATGTCTCGCAGCACGGCGCCTGGACGATGCTGCACCGCAGGACACAGCAAGCTAGTTCCTACCGTGGCCGATAGATGTCTCGCAGCGCGGCGCCTGAACGATGCTGTACCGCAGCGCACCATAGGCTAGTTCCTATTGCGGCCGATAGATGTCTCGCAGCACGGCGCCTGAATGATGCTGCACCGCAGGGCACCACCGGCTAGTTCCTACTGCGGCCGATAGATGTCTCGCAGCGCGGCGCCTGAACGATGCTGTACCGCAGGACACCGCAGGCGCCGCAGAACGGCGCGTAGCGGTCAGCGAGATACGGAGTCGAACGAACGAAACTAACTTTTTTTGTATTTGGCCCAGGAGGTCTTTGTTTGTGTACCTAAACTTCGAGAACGGAATGGGAAAGATTGCGACGGCGCCTTTACATCAATGATGAAGAATCCTTTATCAAGGATGAGGGAAGCATCATGGAAACATCAACACGATCCTTATGGATAGACCTCCGAAAAATATGTTACATTCTACGTTGCAATCTTGATTGAAGGAGCAGTGACCAAAAACTTATTATTCAATTTAAAAAAGTATTCAGCTGATCAGCGCGTGTACGATGGATAAGCAGACAATAAGATAGCGGCCAAACAAAATCATACAGCTTTTAAATTATTATCACAAAATAGGTACCTATAAGATGTGCATTGAGCCAAAAAAGGTATTAAAACGGAACAGCTCAGAAGATTGAGAGAGCATTGCCGCGTGCGTGTGGTCTTAGGTCTGTTTATCGGGGAGCAGAATTGGTGCCTAACGTTCGGGAAGGACCATGGAACCTGACGTCAGGAACGGACACAGGAGCCTGACGTTAGGAACGGACCCCGGAGCCTGACGTTAGGAACGGACCCCGGAGCCTGACGTTAGGGACTGACCCCGGAACCTGAGGTTAGAGACTGACCCCGGAACCTGAGGTTAGGGACGAACCCAGGAGGGCGACATGTGAAAATCCCAAACCCTGAATGCACCAATGCCGGGCGAGATGACGTCAAAACACAGAACGGTAGGACAGCATAGGTTGATGGTTATAGGCGTGAATGGAGGTGCTCGAATCCTGTGACACAAGCTCCTAAAGGTCATCCTGCGATGACCTCAGTGCTCGTTAGGTTACGCCTCTGAACTGACACGACTCATTTTCAGCGACCAACACGATCCATAACAACACTCTTTTCTATAAATTTAGCTGCTGTGGAATGTTTGAATGGACACTTCACAATACCATCCGATCGCGCAATGCCGGGTAACTGGAGAATTTAGATGTCAGGCCCATCAAAGCCGGACACGGTTCGCGCCACTCAACTGACTTCAACTGACTGCGGCTGCACCATCCCCGTCAGCAGTCTCATAACATCGAGCGCTAGATCGGCTCGAACCCGTACTCTGGCCAAAGGGAGTCCAACGCTCTACCAGCTGAGCTATGGGATGGAAGTTACGGAGTACGGACCCTTCTAGCTAAAATGTTGTAGGCACAGCATAAACCTGCGAGCACAGTACGTTAGTTCTTAATCCAGTCAGTCCACTAATCCCAAACCCTGAATGCACCGGTCCCGCACCCCCAGCCGCGGCTCGGGCCGCCGCTCACCTGCCTGGCTGCAGCCGTTTTCTGCCCCGCCGCCGGGCGCGCCACCGCCGCTTCTTGGGCGCCGGGCTGAGCACCGACTGTACGGTGTGGCGCAGGGCGCTCACCAGCGCCCTCTCGGCCTCCGGACTCAGCGTCAGGCACCGGCAGCCGGCCGGCTCGTGGTTCGGCCGGCCGCCGCCAGTCGGCGCCCCGGCCCGCCGCGCAGGACTGAGGTGCGGCAGGTCACCACTAGGCGGCGCCACAGAGCCCAGGTCCGAGTGGACACGCACATTCACAATATCACCGACAATACTACGCATGGAAGACGACTGGAAGACTTGGTTACCTCGCCACATTGCACATCACATTACATTGCACAATAAAAAATGGAAGACTGGGTGCCCTTGACGGGACAGATTCAGTAGTCTTAAGTCTTAACGCCTCACATCAAATAGGCATGCATGGAAGACATCGATATCAGGGGACCTTATCTCCAAATGTCCCAATTACTCATTTGCTGTCACATTGCGCTTACATATCGCATCAGATAATCGTTACCACAAAAAAGCCAAATCACATATCCGTCAGCACTCCCGCAGCAATCGGTAACCGAATTTTCCCCCATCAGCGCTTCCGACGGCCGACCATACCGAGCCAATCACTGCCGCTAGTAGCCGGTCATACCGAGCCAATCACCGCGCTCACACACGAGCGGGCAGAGACTGCACGGGCCGCACACCGCACTCACACGCCCGGCCGCGCCCAGGGCAGCAGCCCCTGCCGTCTGCGGCCGACGAACGACACGTGGAACACCCCGCCCGGCACACAGACACTGATCGGGACACTCGGTACCCGCGTATTACCCTCAGTCCCACCTAGACATGTTTTGACACTCTGACTCGGTGTGACACTCAGTCCCTGCCCATTACACACAGGCACTCAGTTCCCTCCGCGGCACACTCCGGCATTCAGTCCGTGTCCATCACACTCAGACACTCAGTTCTCTCTGCAGCACACTCGGACACTCAGTCCCCTCCACGACACACTCCAACACTCAGTCCCTGCCCATCACACTCACTACTCAGACACTCATTTCCTGCTCATCACACTCCCGACTCAGTCCCTGCCCATCACACCCACTCAGTTCCCTCCGCGGCACACTCGGACACTCGTCACTCCTGGCCCGGTTCCACACGGCCTGTCACGGCCTGGCCAGTCCCACAGAGCGCCCCCGCGGCAGGTCGCACCTATAGGGCAGCACTGCCGGCTGATACCCGACCTCACGGCACCAGTCGCCGCGGTAGGCACGGCGCGGCCCGGCCGGCCCGCCGTCCGACACTGCCGAGACGGCGCGACTGCAGCCTCACCGCTGCCCTCTGCCCCTCCCCGCCTCCGCCGCCGAGATGTATCGATCACAGCAGTCCCGGCGCAGGAGGGGAGGGGGGAGGAGAGGGGCACTCAACGCCCGGGGGCGGAGCGGCCGGCCGAGGAACATCGGAGCAGATGTGGCGGATGGGAGAGCGTCCGAGCATGGCATTACCAATTGATCTGATGATCAAACGTCCATCAGCCTCCATATTTAGCGGAATCTTTGTTTCGGACCTCCACTAGTGGCAAAGTTCACACTTCGCGCATATCATCACGTATGTACCATAAGCCGTAAGCTGTTTCAGGAAATGCTAATGCTGCAATGCCATTAACTTGCCATTTACGTTCTCTGAAGTCAATAAGATTTAATGAAGTACGAGCGTTTCTGATTTCAAGGAATAGCCTTCGGTATAAAAAAAAAATATTCACTCCGAAACCCATGGGGAGCGGCCAATGACTGGATGCCAAATTTAAAAATACAAAATCAAATTCAAGAAACCAAAATTAAATAAAATTCTTTGAACGAGGTTTGTAATACAATAAGCAAGTCATCCTGAATTGATAAGAAACCTTCCTGGAAAATAATATGGTGTATTCGGATTACAGCTAGCTCGCAATTCTCCAAAAACAATGAGAACACCTGCGAGCCCTAATCATTCACACGGCAGCCGCCTATCACCGCGACTGGGTCGATAATATAATCCCAGTCAGTGCAGCAGTTGCATTGTACGACGCCTCTACCCACGCCACGTTCACACGTCCATCCACACCATGTCCGCTTATGCACATCATCCCAACGCGCCCACATACGTCTGAACCGCAACCATCCTCAGATGCTGACTATCGCCCAGCGGCCCTAGGACAGATACAAACAGCGCTCCAGAACCGCTGCCCTAAGGCAGGTCCTGCTCAGCGGGCCTCGGGTAGGTCCGGCTCAGCGGCCCTAGGACAGGTCGTAACAGCGGTCCAGAACAGCCCCGCCGCCGAATAACAGATCCCCCGGGAGCGGCCGGTAAAACCCAGCTGACACCCACGGCAGCTGGGCTGGTTCCACGCTCATACAGGCACTCTCCTCCACACCTCACCTCGCTCAGTGTGGGCCCACCCGGCAGTCGGAGTGACTCGCCCGAGCCCCTCAGCAGTCGGCCCCAAAACTCCCACTCCCTCCGTGCACCCGTGCACCCTCGTATACGGGGCTGGCCGGCACGCAGCAGGCACCCGCCCCGCACTGCCGGCCCCGCACGGTCGCCAGCTCCTGGCCCATGCTACTTGGCCACACCGACCAGCGCCGGCCGAATGGTGCGCTCGTGCAGCTTGTAGCCAATCTTGGTGACCACTGCCACGTGGCCCGACTGGACACCCTCTACCTCCTGCTGGAAGAGCGCCTCATGCTGGTGCGGGTCGAACTTCTCACCCACCGGGTTGATGGGCACCACGCCGTGACGCCGGAACACCTGGACGGAGCGGGGCGCCGAGAAAGGTCAGCGGGTTAGCAGGTCAGGGGCAGGTCAGCGGGTTAACAGGTCAGGGGCAGGTCAGCAGGTCACTGTGTTAGGCGAGGGCCTCTGATTCGAGGGAACTATTTGGAATGAAAAAAGGCAGGATGAAAGCATGTTCTCATATCTTGCTGTGACAAATTAAAAAACAGTTCTCATATCTGTTTACCAGAACATCATTTTGTTTGGTATCTGTCCCTGGGAGTCATGACTTACAAAGTGGAAAACGCACCGATCAACTTGACTAAAATACAACTTAACGTAAAATCGGAACCCATGCACGAGAACAGCATGGTAATAGCTGGTATGGGTCTGGGGATGGGAAATGAGCTCCAAAGACCGCAACACGCCACGGCTCCTAGCCCATACCGAGTCCTACCCGCGCAAACAGTACTGCCAGTAGCCTTTGTCAAAGTGCTAATTGCTGTTGGTTCGTTATGAGGGTAGGAATCGGCAGAACTCAGGTACCGCATCTCTGTATTTACTGTAAGTAGCAGTACTAGAAGCCGGCAGTGCAGCTGGTTTCCAGTCACTCACGGTAATGAGCTGCGCCTCGGTCATCTTGAGGCCCTCGTAGAGGCTCTTGAGGTGCGGGTTGCTCTCGCTGATTTCTTCTGGCGGCACACTCTCCGTGGCCTTACCGAGAATGTCCGCCACCTGGTCACACAGCGGGTGTCCGGTCAGCGGTACTGCCCCACATCCCATCTCACTGTACCTTTCCGAGAATGTCTGCCACCTAGTCACACAACGGGCGTCTGGTTAGCGGTACTGCCCCACGCATCCCACCTCACTGTACCTTACCGAGAATGTCTGCCACCTAGTCACACAACGGGCGTCTGGTTAGCGGTACTGCCCCACGCATCCCACCTCACTGTACCTTACCGAGAATGTCTGCCACCTAGTCACACAACGGGCGTCTGGTTAGCGGTACTGCCCCACGCATCCCACCTCACTGTACCTTACCGAGAATGTCTGCCACCTAGTCACACAACGGGCGTCTGGTTAGCGGTACTGCCCCACGCATCCCACCTCACTGCACCTTACCGAGAATGTCTGCCACCTAGTCACACAACGGGCGTCTGGTTAGCGGTACTGCCCCACATCCCATCTCACTGTACCTTTCCGAGAATGTCTGCCACCTGGTCACACAACGGGCGTCTGGTTAGCGGTACTGCCCCACGCATCCCATCTCACTGTACCTTACCGAGAATGTCTGCCACCTGGTCACACAGCGGTACTGCCCCATACATCTCACCTCACTGAGACCCACAGTGAACACGAGCAGCGCGTACATACACAAACAAATAACCCCAGTGTCCCGGAATAGCCTTTGAGCTGGAGTACATAGCCAGTTAAACAAAGCCAGAATAACAACAGAGTAGTTTCTACAGAAATTGTTTCCTAAATGTTCACTTGTCATCAAATAGATGATTGGATCATTTGATTTATCCAATTAGTTACAGTTCTATTAACCACTTGTATGACTGGAAATGTTAACGCCACAAACATGGATGAAAACGATCATAACTTTACAAAAATGAATACACGATATGTTTACTTACATCTAACAGGTCTTTGCAGAACGACTGAATGCCAAAGAGCTTGCCGTCTTTGACCTGCTTTTCTAAACGTGTGCGTACGTTTTCCCGGTCAGCGAGTGAGCGCTTATATTTGTCCTGTAACAACAGCGTGTCAAAGTTGATTGATTGTTTTTAAGAGCACCTGCGCTGTTACTCAGTCAATGATATAGGTAATGCATTTTTAGCCATACACATTTACAACCCTTTGCTCAGCAGCGCGAAATGTGACCTTGTAACGCAATGATCGAGGGATATCGAAATACCATAGCAATGAAGGAAGAGGCTGGAAGGATGAGGATAAAAATATCAATTTCAAACACATGAGGCACAATAATTTAGTTTGTAGAGATTTTCTATAGCAAAATCACAGCGTAAAGCTTTAATACTTATTCTTTCTTACCACTACATAATTGCTGTAACCGATCAACATTTATTCATAAGGTGACATTGCAGCTAACTTATTGTGCCGCAGCACATTTTTCCCTCCTCGTAGTAGACAACCCCCACGATAGTTTCGATAAATCAAGCGCAGCAAACTGAAAGGTTGGGTGACAGCAAAGCATAACATTTGCTTTAAAAAGCTTTCTGAGCTTGAGCAGCCTATTTGGGGCATCTTCACCACATGACAGTTTTTATAAGAGTGCTCACTGCTCAGGTCAAATATGTTCGAGCTTCAGCATTGCATCCCAGCTGACTACAACTCAGGCATCCATATCTGGTGATGCCAACCAATATTCTTTACATGTGGATGGACAGGCCACATCATCTGACTTAATTATGCTACAAATTAAACCTTAACCCTATTAGTGGCAGGCTCCTGGCTACCCCATATTAGTGGCAGGGGGGGGGGGCTGTTTACGACCCCCCCTTGATATCTCGAGATCTAACCGGCCGATTTTCAAAATTCAAACGGCATTCGATTTGGCTCAACGAGATCTACATTTCTAAAAAAAATAAAATTAAAAAATGTCAATAGGGGGGTAGAGGGGGTAAAAACGGGCAAATTGCAGATACATTTTAGACTGTTTATCACGGCCAGGTTTCTGAACCAATCTTAACGCAACTTTTGCCGATCGATAGAGAATGAACCAGGAATTCACATGGATCCTAAAAATATGCATTTTCAAAAATCATAGGCGGATACAGATCATTGAGATTGGGGGTACACAAAAAGTATAGTAAATAAGGTTTTTGTTGGTACTGTTTCTAAAAAGGGTGGCAATGGTCTTGTTATGTTACAATTTTCTTATGAGAGAACGACTAAAATTGCATTGGTCATGCATAGGCGGTGTCAGGGCACCTATGTTGGGAGGTAAAAAATAACCCCCCTTTTTGGACGCCTGGATCCGCCTATTATAGCAAAAACGTGTCAAAAGAGGATGCACAATAACTTCACTGGCGGATCCAGGGGGGGGGGCCACGGGGGCCATGGCCCCCCCCAAAGGCCTAAAGTGGCCTGTTTGGCCCCCCCCAAAACGTAAGAAAAATTGCTAAGAAAATATACCTTGATGGAGGTTTTTAGCCACTTGGTGAAGTAAAGCTTTCCACAGCAGTATATGGAAGCAATATGGTAGCAGTGAGGGTCAGTCAAAAGTTGCGCGAGTGGAGTCGACCTTCAAAAAAGACTTGTTGGCACGTGTTTAAGGCGTGGTAGCTGGGAGTTTGCGGTGTTTCGCGTGGTGTGGCATCACTGGCGGATCCGGGGGGGGGGGGGGGCACGGGAGCCTGAGGTGCCTCTGACAGACCCGTGGTGCCCTTGGTAGGTCTGTGGTGCCCCTGGACCCTGGCAGGCCTGTGGTGCCTCTGGCGGGCCTAGGGTGCCCCTGCTAGGCTGCTGATGCCCCTGGGACCTGGCAGGACTGTGGTGCCCCTGACAAGCCTAAAGTGCCCCCAACAGGCCCGTGATGCCCCCGACAGGCCCAAGGTGCCCCTGCGTGATGCCGTGATTCCTGCGAGGCCGGTGGTACCCCTGCGAGGTCGGTGGGGCCCCTGACAGGCCCATGGTGCCCCTGCGAGGCCGGTGGTGCCCCTGCTAGACCGGTGGTGCCCCTGGCAGGCCTGTGGTGCCCCTGCTAGGCCGCTGGTGCCCCTGGGCCCTGACAGGACTGTGGTGCCCCTGACAGGCCCATGGTGCCCCTGCGAGGCCGGCGGCGCCCCTGGCAGGTCTCTGGTGTCCCTGACAGACCTGGAGTGCCCCTGACAAGCCTGTGGGGGCCCCTCACAGGCCCGTGGTGCCCTTGTTAGGCCTGTGGTGCCCCTGGCGGGCTGGTGGTGCCCCTGCTAGGCCGGTGGTGCCCCTGACAGGCCTGTGGTGCCCCCGGGCACCAAGGGGGGTCATGACCCATGTGGCCCCCCTTGGATCTGCCACTGGTACATATTATATTGATTTGTAATGGCGTTATGGCTTATGCAATATGCAATTGCAGGCACTTGGTATCCCTCACTTATCCCTCATTGGGGGCTCTGGCGGGCTTCTGAGGGCCCACGTCTATCTCCGGGAGCCCTAGACAGGCTCCTTTGGGTCCTTTCAGTCCACTATAGCATAAGAGGTCTCCATGCGAGTCCTATACATCTGAGGACGTACCCTGACGTCTGAGGTACTCAACTGCAGCTCCAATGGTCTCTTACACTGGCGGATCCAGGGAGGGGGCATTTAGGGCCATGCCCCCTTCCCAGAGGCCTAAAGTGGCCCGTTTGCCCCCTCCCCCAAGCGATAATGAAGCACAGTTCAATCAGTGCCTGGCCCAGGAGCCGAGTTAGACCACCTCCCGTTTTACCACCTCCCGGCCCGCAAAGGGACCCAAGCACTGACTCGAAGCGGGTTAACTGGTCGACAAAAGCAATGGTAAGTGTTTACAAAGTAATATAAAGGCATGGGTCGGGTGGGCTACCATTTATATATTTTTATTTTTAGTTAAAAAAAAAATATTCATAGTGTCAGGGCTGTGACGAAAAATAAGTGGCCTAAATCCGATGAGAAAACAGGATTTGGGGGTACCCTAGGTTTGGCTCCTGCATGAGTTGGCCCCCCCCAAAACGCAAGTCTGGATCCGCCAGTGAATAACTTTGTATATGTTATCACATGATACCTTTCATTCACTGTTCGTAAAACTGGTGCAGCATCGTGATCTTCGCCCAAATGACTCGCTTCACGAATAGGACCCCCAATTCCCAGTGCTCTGGAGCCGCCCCTGGTAAAGTTATGAACTTGAAATTTTCAGGGAATGTGCCCAATTTAGTTTTAGGAAAAGTCAGAAAATTTCAGCATCGTAGCTTCAGCGGTTTCGGAGATATTCCCGAAAAACCTGAGGGGTGGATAAAAACACCCCCCCCCCTGCCACTAATAGGGTTAAATACCAGAGGTAGGTATGTATAAGGTTCAAGGTATACACTATACATTGATTAACCCTCGCCCGTATTGGTGTTTTTCCAGCCGTGAATGTATAAGTGGGGGGGAGGAGGGGGGATGCAAGGTGGGTCCGTTGAACCCACCTTGCCGTTTCGCCCCTGATCGAGCTAGAGCTTCACGGAAAAAAAACGAGCGTGTTGTCCGTGACGAGAAGAAGCCGATGATACCCAATTTAAGGTCCTATGTCATTGGTTGACCTTCTAGGTCAGGTCAATGACCCAAAAGTCGGGAAAATTGGGACCTGTTAGAACGTCGTTAAGTGTGGCTGCTATGGTTTTTTTCGGGGTGCTGGTCACAAATATCATGGTAGTTTTGCTCACGGATGATGTCTTCATACATTTAGGCCAGGTCGGGTCAGGTCAGGTCAGGTCAACCAGCTGGTTGGCCTGACCTGACCTGACCACCTACAAGTGCCTAACCTGAAACGCTTACTAGTAGGCGTTTTGCCGGGTATTCGTAGTAGGTGTCAACCGCCTCTGGCAGCTTCGTAACATGTTACGAAGGCACCGAAACTACTTCGTAAATGTTCAAATGGTTGCTAAAATTCTAATTCAGCTTCAAAAACTAGCCTAGAAACATGAAAAAACTCAAAAAAGCGAGCCAAGGTCATCAATTATTATCAAAGATCAGTGGCCTGACCTGACCTTCAGTAGACCTTGACACACACCCTAATGCATGGGAGCAACATCATTTACCATGTTTGGACGCTTAAAACCACGAAAAGACTGAAACGCGCGGCTAATGCGCCAACATACGCCGAATCACGATTCCGGCCAAACATGGTCTCGAGAAGTACAGGGTGGGGCAGCATAATCGGGAATAAATATCAAACGGGATTATTTGGTCATGAATTTAAAAATATAGCTCCAAGCACTATTTTAACAACATCCCATCAATCGGTCACCTTTTACCTATCCCTCATCCTATTTGACCGCCCTTCGCGTCGATGACCTTCTCAAGGCGGGTCCAAAAGCACGCGCATGCACGTGCAGCCTCCTGCTTGTCCATGATCGCCCATCAGCTTCGTACCTTGCACTGAAGACCGTTTTTACTGATGATAAGTTGTTCATTAAACTTCTACCAAAAAATGCTCCATATAAATAATTTGGTCGGATTTAAATCGGCGGAGTTGAAGGACCAGAAGTTTTTGGTTCATCTCAGGTGGAGGTGCCCTACACAATAACATGTCGTCCTCACTGCAGTACCAGCACGGACAGAGTCCTCGTAAGACGTGATCTGGACCGTCAGTGATCCTCTCTTCCGACGACTCCACGTGAGTCTGCCAGAGTGTGGATGTATTTACCAGAGGTGCTCGTTTTATCCGGGCTCGATGAAGTAGGGTGCACCACGTGCACCTCCCTTGAAGACCACCCATAGGTCCATCACCTCAACAGGATGTTTACTTTGCATGACCGCTGCAATATTCTCGATACAATCCCCTATATGGCATGCCATTCTTTTTTATCGTATTCCAGTCGGTGATAAGATTTTTGGTCGCTGAAGTTTTGAACATTGTTTCTTTTTAATATGCTCAAGAGCTTCTTCCTTATATTCAAGTGAGTCATCTTGTATGTCCTCTGCTAAGAGTTATTTTACGACGATTACGTTAACTTTTTGTCCTAAGTATCCCCACACAATCCTTATCGTCCGTGATAACACGTTGACCTGTCCAGCAACCTTTACGTGGAATGGCATTGTTTTAAACAAAATGTTTTTGTTTTACTCGTTTAACATTAGTGTCTATGGGCGCGCGCAAAGCACTTGGAGCACCGTCGAACTATTTTGCTGCTCTTTTCCAGGAAGTTGCATGCTCATGGATGTAGTCATGTCAGATGATGCACAACTTTTGGGCGTTTCATTGCCATGATATAATTTATCAAAATAATGCCATGCCTACTCATGACCAGAGCCCAAAAAGCATTCCCGATTATGCTGCCCCACCCTGTAGGTCACAGGTCAAAGGTCATTAGGGTCAGGGTCATGAAACTTTCAGGGTAGTTGTAAAATTGATTAATGCGAAGATACTAAGAATTTCGTCGCAACCCGCCTCTTTTTACACGAGTTATTCGCGAAAAACCGAGGGGGGCCATTTGACCCCTCCCCTATATGGGCAAGGGTTAAGCAGGTTTAAAAAGAATGGCATATACATAGGTACCCAGTAAACATGACGACGTCGGCCCGACGTCGGGCCGAGGCTCGGCCCGACGTCGGCCCAACGTCGGTTCAACCTCGGCCCGACATCGGCTGGACGTCGGATATGCCCGCATGTTCCGACGTCCAGCCAAAGTCCAGCCGACGTCGGGCCGAGATCGTTTGCCGAGGTTGACGAGATCGTTTGTCGTTGGACCGACGGGGCCGACGTCGGCATGTTTATTGGGACAACGCGCCAAAAATATCAAGCGGCGGCGGGATTCGAGCCCCCCAGTCGCCGACGTCGGCATGTTTACTGGGACAACACGCCAAAAGCATCATCCGGCGATGGGATTCGGACCCCGTGTCATCCGAGCGCGAGGTTAGTGCGCTAACCACTACACCACGCAGCCAGCTAACAATTTTGGTTTGTTTTGTTGGGTTATGCCCTTTCGGTCTGACAAGACCATTTCAGAGCCGGAAGGATCATAGGATGGATACATTGGTCTTCTTGGCGAGCACCCTGGGTCCAGTTCATATAGAGTCCCTGGTCCCATTGCTGTTACGTGACACTTATTGGAAAGGGCGACCCCACAATGAATTCATATAGCCACTCTTACACACCTGCACCAACGTTTCCCAAAGTGTCCCTTTGATAAGTGGCACTTTGGCAAAGTGACACTTGCCGACTGGCCTTTCTATATGAACTGGGCCCGGCCCTGGTGAGTTGCCGGGGCTGAGCCTGACCAAAGAATAGGCCGAGCAGCCCCCAAGCACTCACCGCACCCGGCTACGGGCGAGCTCGGCTTACGGGCAATCCCAAATGGGATAAAGTTTCCCGTCCAGTCCGGATCAGGGGGTTGCGGAGTGGAGGAAGATTTGAGTTTCCTGAGGATATTTTGAATACAGAAGCTCTTTATGAAACATGAAACATGTATTTTATATTATTTTAACGGTCAAAACAGCGGTCCGACGTCGCTCCGACGTCAGCCCGACGTCGGCTGGACCTCAGCAATTGATCTCGGTCCGACATCGGCCCGACGTCGGCTGGACCTCGGCTGGACGTCGGAACATGCGGGCATATCCGACATCCAGCCGACGTCGTGCCGAGGTTGGACTGACGTCGGGCCGACGTCGGCATGCCGATGCCGAGTTGCCGACGTCACCCCGACGTCGGGCCGACGTCGGCATGTTTACTGGGTATTTGGTTGGGTGAGGCAAGGCTTTCTATGCAATAAGTTTCCAATTTGAGTTAATATGATAATAATGACACAGCTATGATACTTGAAGGATATTGACGGGTGCTCCAGTCCATCATTACTCCTTGAAGCCTTGGGATAACCAACTAAAGCCAATTAACTGAAATGTTGCAGAACCATTATAATTACTGTTTCTGTTCATCAAAATCATCTTAGCCATGGCTGATTATTTCAAAAGTAAAATGTAACTATTACTTTCTGAACCTACATGCACTGGGTTCTGATCCCAGCCAAAACATAGGCAGGTACCATGCATGTTTGCACAAAATTAATTAATTTCACTTAGAATACAATTAGTTGCTTAGGAAGCTGGAAGAGAAAGGGAAGAGCAGGGGAGACATTTCGGGAGCTCACATCCAGGTCCTGGACTTGCAGCTTCAGCTCCTCAATCTGTTTCTGCAGCTCCTCGGCAGGTGGACCAGCTGCTGCTGCTGCTGCCTCCGCTTCTGCAGCTGGTGGTGGTGTGGGAGGTGATGAGCTGGCATCTGACGCAGATGACTGAGGTGCCGCACTGCACAATGGATACCTGCAGACACCAAGCAACCACAGTAAAACTCTTGATGACGGAAGCATCACCATCATAAATCATGTTTGTCAAACAATTGATATACCTAGGTACTATTAAGGTATTAAACATGTACTTATCTCATTGGTATCATTTTGATTTTAGCTGTAAGAATTATTCGGAAAACACTTGCCTGGCTACCCATGGCTGCTGCAATAGCCCTCGACGAAAAACAAGTCTTGAAAGGTTGTTCACTACGGACGTTGCCATCGATTATTGTTATGTATGCGAAAACCTCAGTCCAATGGGTTATTCCACTCCAAATCAGTCACAACCGTCCAATGCCGGATATCAATACAGGCTCTCGTCTTAAGACACGGTATATATCTTGTTCAAGTCTCTTCCCTCCTTGCGCCGTGCCCAAAAAGACTCGTGTGCGGTGTAATGTGAAAATCGCTGATAAATTTCAGTTTCCTATAATCGTGTGTAAAACTACACACTTACACAACTCATGTATCTGACACCTAGCGGATTATTTTGCCCACAGCTCATATAATAGCTTGTTACTTTACTTGAAACATATTTCTATGACAAAATGTTTTATTTAAATATTAGATTTAGATCCTTTGCAAATTATATGAAAACTGACATAAAAAACAAAGCAAAAAAGACCTTGCATATAAGTATCGGTAACAAGACGATTGTAGCGCAACTGGTGCTATTTACCTTCTGTAAAACTGTTCAATACTAAATATTCTGCTCATTTACGAGCAAGTTGCTAGGAAGCAGAATCAATGACGGTCGTCAAGTTAGATGTAAGTGAATCCTAATCTATAATCTAAGATTCGGAATCAGGTGAGCCCCTACGATTTGGACCAAACTTGGTCAGTGGATAGTACGTAACGTCCTGATTACGATGCACCCAAAATCTAAGCTCGGCCCGCCATATTTACGAAGTTACGGATGTTTCAATTTCAAGGTCATTCGGGAGAGCCCCTGCGATTTCCGTCAAAATTTGTGTACGGACACTCTAGATGCTCCTCATTACGAATATCACAAAATTTAAGCTCGGCCCGCCATATTTACGAAGTTACGGAGGTTTGAATTTCAAGGTCATTTGGGTGAGCCCCTGCGATTTCCGTCAAAATTGGTATACGGACATATTACATCCTCCTCATTACAAATATCATAAAAGTTAAGCTCGGCCCGCCATATTTTTCAAGTTACGGAGTCACAAAGTTACGGAATTTCAAGGTCATTCGGAGAGCCCCTCCGATTTTCGTCAAAATTTGTATGCGGACACACTACATGCTCTTCATCACGAATATCGTAAAAGCTAAGCTCGGCCCGCACTATTTCAAAAGTTAGAGATGTTTGAATTTCAGTGAGTTTCAAACGTCAATAACTTTTGAAATAGTGCGGGCCGAGCTTAGCTTTTACGATATTCGTAATGAGGAGCATGTAATGTGTCCGCATACAAATTTTGACGAAAATCGGAGGGGCTCTCCGAATGACCTTGAAATTCCGTAACTTTGCGACTCCGTAACTTGAAAAATATGGCGGGCCGAGCTTAACTTTTATGATATTTGTAATGAGGAGGATGTAATATGTCCGTATACCAATTTTGACGGAAATCGCAGGGGCTCACCCAAATGACCTTGAAATTCAAACCTCCGTAACTTCGTAAATATGGCGGGCCGAGCTTAAATTTTGTGATATTCGTAATGAGGAGCATCTAGAGTTTCCGTACACAAATTTTGACGGAAATCGCAGGGGCTCTCCCGAATGACCTTGAAATTGAAACATCCGTAACTTCGTAAATATGGCGGGCCAAGCTTAGATTTTGGGTGCATCGTAATCAGGACGTTACGTACTATCCACTGACCAAGTTTGGTCCAAATCGTAGGGGCTCACCTGATTCCGAATCTTAGATTATAGATTAGGATTCACTTACATCTAACTTGACGACCGTGAATCAATGAACACTTTTTATTTGTTGTTTTGTTCTAAAACCTGATAATGTGATCGTAACTTCTAAAAATGAATACTTTTATTTGGCTTGCAACGCATAGGTGCACATGTGCTGACATGACACTGACGCGAATGCGAAGAGGCCGACGAGGCGCTGCTCATGGCTGTATTTTAACTAAGTTAATTTAAATGGCTCAGGGAAAGTTCAAGCTGAAGAAGGCAGGGGCTTCTAAGAAAAAGCAGCAAAATGCTTATAAGAACCAAGCATCGAAGTCAAAGAGGGGCCAAAGTAAGTTATACTAATTACTAACATAGGTCAAGGTAGCATGTGGCATGTTTTGATGCCTACTTGTGCTGCTTCAGTTTTAATGCCTAGTTACCATGAACGGCATCTCGTTCAGTCTGGAAAGTATGGCTTGCAGGTCGACGAGGCGGACTGACCGAAGTTTAAAATCTGCACCAGTCCTTCAAATAGACTACAGAGTCAGAAAATTAGCACCAAAGCCGGCTGAGAGTACACAAAATTGCATCGAACCCACACAAGTGACCAGTTGAAAGCTGCACTGACCTCAATTATTGATATGAGCCACAAGACTGCCCTCTCGGTGGTATGAAAAAAGTGGGATCATCGCATGCATGCATTTTCAGCATTTCTCATAGGTCATTAGCTCTATCGAACACACAAATCTGATAGGCAAGTCATTCACAGCGGATTCGACTATATTTGACCGCGTCCTTGGCTGCGGCAAAGTGGTGGTCACTGGTCCTCAAGGCCTGCCATCAGCCTTGCGCATCTCGCCTCACCTACCACCGAGCGACACCGATAAACACTTACATGAGCCGAGCACATCTCGTTTACGAATGCTGCAAAGTGCAGAATGCAACAAACTCAGATTCTTTCAACACAACTTATTAGCTGCGTCGAGCGTACAGATAAATTGTTCGCATTTGACTGATTGAAGCGGCCGTCGAGCGGTGATTTTCTGGCCCTCCTATCGGCCGTACAAATCTTGAATCCCTCTAATTGGCCGTGCTCATCTCTCTCACTCTACCGCCAGCGCCTCGCAGATCGGAGCGGTGCGTTTCGTGTTGTAATAGTGCAATGTGCGAACTTGCGGGCTTCCCACGTGATTGATGGCACCACAAGCACTGGCAGTCCATCCTGACCATCGCACACTCATTTAGGCCAGAGAGCACAGCACACTGAATTGCCTATGTGATGTCGAACTTTAAAGCTCCAACAGTTTTTTCTCGCTTTTCTTCATCTATCTCGTCTGGTCTGTCATGTCCGTTACTGAGCCCAAGGCCCACTGAGCCATTCCGCACCGCACTTCACTAAATCCGCACTGCACCAGGCCAAATCCGCACCGCACCGCACCAGCCGAACAAGCCCGCACCGACGAGATCTCGTCGAAATTGCCATACTTTGCAGATTGGCATCTCGTAGATGTTTCTATGTGTTTGGTTGTGCTGAATGAGTTATCAAAGCATCATTAGTTGCGATCCCGACTCATTAAAACGTATCGCCACTAGCGCGGCTAGCGGGCCACACGGGACCCAGGGCCTGCCGACAAGGCAGTGCGCTCCGTGACCCGCACGCTAATGTATGTACCGTGACCTGCACGATTCTGCATGTGAATACTCGCGGGTGTTGTTTCTATACCTAAAGCTTGTGAACGAGATACCTGCTTAGCCTGCATACCGAATATTGGTTTTGCTTCGTTTTGATTCATTGTGATATCATTAGCCGACATCTTTTGAACCTGCATAATAGCGTAAAAACTCCCAATATTCCCGGTAAAAACTCCCAACTGAGCCGGTCCCGTAGCTCAGTTGGTAGAGTGCGGGCGCTTGACATTTATGGGCCTCCTGACAGGTATGGTTGCGGTTGGTGCCAGGCCGTAGCCAGGCGAAGTCAGTGAGGGGACCGGCCGTGCGCGGCTATGTGCGCACGTTAAACTTTGGACTCTAAATTCTGCCATAGAACTGGAATTGCGCGATCGGAGGGTAGAGGGCAGGGTCACCGCAACAAGCTTCGCTTAGCGGTGGCTCTGTCCTTGTGAATCCTTCCAATCAAAAGGTTCGGACTAAATTTATAAAAAAATATATATTTTGTCTTAACCCTATTCCTGGCGGGCTCCGCCGGGACAAGAAACTGGCGGGGGGGGGGCCGATTCGGCCCCCCCTGAGATCTCGAGAACGAAGCAAGATAGCGACAAACGGTAAACGGCATCGGATACGCACGGTCAAGATCTACAATTTTTACTAAGGTCATTTTCAGGTCAGGTCAAAGATGACGTCACAGGGGTCGAAAAAGTCAAAATGGCGGCGCTAGATATGGAGAGAGTTTTTCTCGAATAACTTTCGAATTAGTCAAGATAGGAACAAACTAAGGGCATCATCGTGATCCTCTCGTCAATCCGCATCGAATGATATATATGTTGACCTCGCAAGGTCAAGGTCAAAGGTTGACCTCAGGTCACGTGACCTCGAGGTCATCATGTATATCATTCGATGCGTCTTGACGAGCTGAACACAATGAGACCATCCACGCGTCTGTATCTTGTTCCTGTACGGAGTTATTGGCCAAAAACCTTTGGTGACCTTTGATGACGTCACATGACCTCACAGCTGCCCAACAGCAAAACAGACCTCAAGGTAGTGAAGGTTGATCGTATATGAAGTCATGTATGGTATATGGGGCCATTCCGACCCGTTTTAGTGGTAAAAACAGGGAGTTGATTTTTCCCCCATTGACTTATAATGGGGAGGTCGCGAAACTGACCTGACCTTAGGTCACCGATATCAAAATTCCGAGATATACAAATTGCACATACTGGTACCCTAACTAAAGCCTGAAGAGAAGAAATTGATCGGTCAAAAACTCTAGCTCTGGCGTGATTGCAAACTTTTCTGAGGTAGGGTCACCAAACCGCCTCTGGTGACCTGACCTGAGGTCAGATCAACTAAAAATTTTCAGACATGTTGCGTAGAAGCCTTTTAGGAAAAGTCAGAAAATTTGAGCTTCCTAGCTCAACGCGTTTGGGAGAAATAACCAAAAAACCTCAGGGGGGGGGGGCTCCTGAGGCCCCCCCCCGCCAGGAATAGGGTTAAGATAACCAGTAGTTTACCAGTTTTATTTCGCCGGGCCGAAACGGCAACGATTATAGGCTGGTGGGTCCCTAAACACTTAAATGAGCCGGGGCTGGGATGTAACATTTGCACCTTTTTCTGCCTAATGCAAATTATTAATTACCAGTAAAACGCCGTATAGGGTGACAACGGCAGCGAGCGAAAGAGTGAACCCTGCACGTACGAAATTGTGAGGGGTACCTCCAACTGACTTGTGCATGGTACCCTACTAACCGGTCTCTAGCAATGTGCCAAATTGGAACGCAATCGGCCCAGCCGCTCTCGAGATCTGGAAACGGCACCCTGCACGTGCGCACGTGCAAGTTAGGGTCCAACTTACTTTTGTACGGCACCCTACAAACTGGTCCCTAACCGGTTACCAAATATGAGCGCAATCGGTCCAGCCATTCTCAAGATCTGGAATCGACCCCTGCACGTGCGCACGTGCAGCTACACCTTAACTGTGGGACATTGAACTGCATTACCTAGTGGTTGCCTACCTACATGCAAAGTTTCAGCGCAATCGGCCCAGTAGCTGCCGAGATATTGCAATTGTTACAAAACTGGCACCTCTTCGATTTGCACGTGGCACGTGCATAAGGGGTCACCTACAATCCACAATCACATGCATCGAAAATAGTATAATACTTAGTAGAAGGAATCAAGCTACCCTGCAAAAATTTCCGCAAGTAAATCGGTTCAGCGGTTGCTGAGTTATAAGGCTCTCAAAAGCGGCCGGGCCGGACGCTCATACTAAGATTTTAGATTTTTCCGTTATATGGGAAAGACTCAGCTCGCTTCGCTCGCTCCGTAACAAGTTTTCTATCAATCATCGGCCCAATACCTCAATACCCTTAGCGCAATGTAGTGTCGTGCCGTGAAACAAGGCCGGGTTCGGAAGTTCCGGGGCCACGAAAATCGGCAGAGAGGTGTGTTCGAGGCTGGCGGGAGCTAGCAAAGACCGGGCAGCGGAGCAGCACCTGCTCCGGCACATCAGCGTCTTCTCAGCTTACGGCGCAGAGCGCCGCGGGACACCGTTTATCCGGGCACTGCTGGCACGCCGCGGAGTGGAGACAGCCGATTCGGTGCACTTACTGGAGCGAGCGGCCCCGGCGGCCCGCCCTCATCTAGTGCACCGAAACGGCGTCCTCTCGGTCCTCTTTGGCGATGGGGAGCGGCGGCGTGCTCCGGAAGAGTGGCGGCGTGCTCCGGAAGAGTGGCGGCGTGCTCCGGAAGAGTGGCTTGAATAGTGACCTGGACCAATTGTCGCGCCATTGACGCGAGGCCGCACGATGAACCATCCTGGTCAGCGAGCGGGCGTTTGAGGGCAGGGCGGCCGCTTGTTTCGCTCAAAAGTTATGGCGGATAAAAAGCGTCCAATATACACATAGGAGACACCCTGCATGCCAATGGAATGTCCCATAATGAACATAGAAAATCAAAACACAACCGCTCTCCTGAAAAGCGTGGGAAATACGCTTTTCTTCCTTTAAATGGTAGTCTGGAGTCGGAGTTGACAATCATTGGCCTTTAGTCGAAGCTTGTTAGTCGAAATATCTCACGCCCTTTTTTCGACCAGTGGCGTTATACCGCTCATGTTGACAATGACATCGAAGAAATAAGCAGTTGCCGCGGATGGGTTGGATCAGAGCTGGGAATTCTTTAGGTCGTGCTGGTTATTAGGGTCGGACTAATGTGGGCCCACAGTCCACACCGAACACTGGACTGTGTTCAGAGGGTCTTGGGCCCTCTCAGACCGAACTGAGGCCATCTCACAACAGGATCAGACCTCGAAGGCTGCTGTGAGCCCCTTGGACTGCCGGCTGACTTGGCACGGGAAGAGGGCCGTATGAGTTGGGGGCTTTTGTAGAGTATGGTGAGTTCCCTCAGTGCAATGCAATATTTGTTAAGTGTCAAAAAACGTTCAGGCTAAAGAAAAAGACATCGCAATCCGTGACAGTGTGACGAGTGTTTCACTGTGATTTTACTCATGCAGGAATAACCGGAGTCGGGTCGGAGTCGGAGTCGGAGTCGATTTTGGGAAGTCAGAGTGGTAGATTGAGTCAGATTTACTGAAAATCGTCGACTCCGCACTTGGGCAGCTCTTTTTTAACGTTCATATTTATTTTCAGGTTCAGTCATTCCTGCTAAGAAAGCCAACCTTCAACAACAGCAAAAAGTAATGAAGACTCTCACAAAGAAAATAAATGAAAAGGCTGAAAATGATCTAAAGGCAAGATCATATCAGTCTGATGGAAAGTCTTTTAAGGTAAATCATGAGGGAGTGTAAGAGCGAGAGAGATGTGAAATAAAGTGTAATGCTATGCTCTCATGCTTAAAATTCCATCAGTTCAAGTAAAATGTTCTCAGAACAGCCTAACGTCCTTTGGTTTTCTTCACAATGAAGATGTCAAACATGTTATTCCTTCCAATCATTTTTGTCTGACGTGCCAGTCGTTATTTCCTGCATGCGGTTGACTGAGCATATTATTATCTTGAAGACTGCTACCATTATATCTTGATATCTATTATATCTATTATATCTACTATAGCCATTATATCTATTATATCTTAAAAATTTCATTTTTTTTTAACTAGACTCATTTTTGTTGCAGGTGCTTGGGAAAGTGGACACTGTAAAGGATGCCAAAAAAGTGGCGGGGAAAGGCAAGAAAGCGAAAACACAGAAGACTGGCAAGAAAAAGTAGAGGGTATGTGTGATATAGTGCTATATTTGTGTTATATTATCTCATCATCACATCTTGGCCAACATACTTGATTGTGGGAGTACCTACAGTACAGAAACAAAGACCATCACTACGGCATTCATAATTGGATATTCACTTCATTCATCAACATTGACATAAGGAATATTCTTTGAATGTTTGAACTTTGAATACATCAACTTCTGATAAATGACAATGTTTGGAGCTCTTTTATAGTTTTGCATCATTATCCTTCATCATTTATATCATCATCCTATAAATTGTAGCATCATTCCAGTTTAAATTTTACAGGCGCTCACCATGCACATTGCACAATGTCATTTGATTCTCTATCGAAACTTATTTAGCAGGTGTTTTAAGCTGTTTTTGGTATGGGTAAGAAGCACAAAGGTGTATCCATTTTGTGGTTTATTAGCCATGTGTCATCACACTCGTTGGCAGGACTTTGATATTCACACTGCATTGATGCCAGTCTCGTCCTCCTCTGTCAAAAAAGCAGCGCAAATGGAGACTAGGCGGTGTCGATAATCGTTTCGGAAACGCAACAAACTACGCTGTTGGATGAAACTTAAATTTATCTTCTTCGTATCGTTAGGTATCAATGCTGAAGCGTGTAATGCCACCTTCAACGCACAAATCAGGCGACTCTGTCTGAGCCACCCTGAATCACGTCATGACCGGTGGGCCGGCCGGTGCGCGGGCCCGGTGGCCGCCGGGACCGGCCGGTGGCGCCCTCGGAGCGCGGCCCGCTCTCAGGCCGGGTAGCACTGGCAGCGGTCCTCCGGGCAGACGCTCGGGTACCCCAGGCAGTTCTCGTGACAGTAGAGGTCCGACTCGGGCTTCGAGGCGAACTCGCCGATGGCCTTACAGTCCGAACTGTGAACACGGGCACGGGCACGGGCGTGGGTGCAGTCAACACAGGGGGCCTGTGCATTGTGGGGCTTTGGAGTGTAGCTCTGAAAACTATTATCATGTGTTCACTTTAGTGAAAAACAATATCAAATTATTATCTGTATTCAATGTAAACGCGTTGAATACAATTCAACGCGTTTACATTGAATACAGATAAGAATTTGATATTGTTTTTCATTAAAGTGAACATTTGTCAAAATGAACAATATACTATTATCATGTGATGAGATGCACGAAATAATCATTTCCACATTTTTTAAGAGATCACCTTTGGAAGCAGCATCACAATTCGCAATTGCAAACAACCGCATTACTAATAGTTCGCATCAATACCCAAGATAACCATTAACCAACTGATCACGTCCTTCTCGTCGCGTTTTTCAATCATTTCCCTCTCGCCTGCATTTGCCCCGTGCCTTTCGTGCACCATCGCTAAGTGTAAGCAGTCCCCCTCCCCAATCGAAGGCCGGCAGCCCTCTCGCTCCCCTCGCCCATGGCGATTACGCGGCCGGGACTCACGTGCAGATGCACTGGTCGGCCGGGCAGCCGGCCGGCTCGGCCAGGCAGCGGATGCAGCGCTCGGAGGCGTTAGCCTGCAGCCGGAACGGGCCGTGCGGGATGCACGTCTGCGCGCGCACCAGCAGCTGGCCGCTGAGGTCGCTCTGTGTGTCGGAGAGGGCCTCCTGGCCGGCCGCCACCCGGTCCGCGTCCGACTTGGTGTACGCCAGGCGCACGTGCAGGCTGCGGGCGGCAGGGGCGCGCCGGTCAGTCTCAGGACGGCAGGGGCGCCGGTCAGTCACCACAGGACGGCAGGGGCGCCGGTCAGTTACAGGACGGCAGGGGCGCCAGTCAGTCACCACAGGACGGTCAGTCACAGGACGGCAGGGGCGCCGGTCAGTCACCACAGGACGGTAGGGACGCCGGTCAGTCACCACAGGACGTCAGTCACAGGGGCGATGGTCAGTCACCACAGGACGGTAGGGTCGCGCCGGTCAGTCACCACAGGACGGTCAGTCACAGGGGCGATGGTCAGTCACCACAGGACGGTAGGGTCGCGCCGGTCAGTCACCACAGGACGGCAGGGGCGCCGATCAGTCACCACAGGGCGGTCAGTCACAGCGGCGTCAGTCAGTCACCACAGGACGGTCAGGCACAGGGGCGATGGTCAGTCACAGGACGGCAGGGGCGCGCCGGTCAGTCACCACAGGACGGTCAGTCACAGGACGGCAGGGGCGCCGGTCAGTCACAGGACGGTCAGTCACAGAGGCGCCGGTCAGTCACCACAGGACGGTCAGGCACAGGGGCGATGGTCAGTCGCTGATCGGTCATTCGTAGGGCAGCAAGGGTGCGGGTCTGCCTCTGGCTATCTCTCTATCTGGTTTCCTCTCGATGATAGACTCAGCACCTGACACATACGCCAGGCTCGTCAGCTCAATCCTTACGCGCGCCCCGCGACACAGGGTGGCGCTGTTCACTGGTATCTCCGCGACGCCTCCCGCCGACCCCTCTGACGTCCGCCGCCGTCCGTCTGGTCCTCACCTGTTGTGGACGGGTCCGAAGTAGGGCGTGTTGGAGACGATGGCCACGTCGGCGCAGTTGACGAACGTCTCCTGCGGCCCGCAGCCGACCGCCTCCTCTCCGTCCGAGCAGGTGCCCCACGTGTTTCCGGCGTAGTAGGTCCACTGCATGACGCACTGGGTGCACGTCAGGTAGGGCGGCAGCTCCACCTTCCAGCGGAACGTCTCCGACTTTTTGCTGTCCTCCGGGATGACGAAGCGAATTGCCTTGGAGCCGGCCAGTCGCAGCACGTGCCTGAGGGCCGGGCGCGCGCGGCGGTCAGTGACTGCTGTGGCCCACGACAGCGGATAGGTACTATCGAATCTCCGTGTATACATTTTTAGTAGCGGTAGTGGTCCGTCATAACTAGTAAGAACGGCCTATTTTCCAAGGCCGTTAAACGGTGTATGTGGCAGAGCAGCCTGCGGCATTTCACAATTCACATAGTCAGAATCCGTCGTTTACGACTTTTTTCTTTTCGGCTGTGGAACAAAGACGCTAAGTGAATGCTGAGTGGTTAGTCATTAGTGGCTGCTGCTAAATGTTTGTACAGTGAAGATGTAGGTAAAGGTTCAGCGAGATGCTTTTTATTAATTTTTATCGCATCGACGCTTTGCTCGTTGGGCCTCAGAACCTTATTTCCTCTTCCAGCTTACCTACTTTCCATGTCGTTTATTTTTCCAAACATGTTCAAGCCCATCACCGGCAGACTTTGTACCGACTGTACCTACTCGGTCGGTTCACGGTGTCTGTCTGTGGCCGGGTGCGGAGGACCTCGCGCTACTCTGTCGGTTCACCGTGTCTGTCTGTGGGTGAGGAGCGGCCTCGCGCTACTCGGTCGGTTCGCGGCGTCTGTTGGTGCGGAGGACCTCGCGCTACTCTGTCGGTTCGTGGTGTCAGTCGGCGTAGAGGAGCCTGGCCCACAGCTCGACGTCAGAGGTCAGTCACACCCAGTTGACCTTCGGCGTCCGCATCGCATCTTCTCCAATTATCGGCCCGGTGCGAGCTTTTTTATTAGTGACCTCAAACGGGCACGATGTCATTGACCCCGCCAGGCTAGGAGGTAGCTCACTGGCCAGTACCTACCTAATTAAAATTCAACGTCAGTTCCGACGCATTTTTAGTGTTGTCTCAAGACGCTGGCTTAGATGCGTGCGACGTAGGTAGTTATGTTAGTTTACCTGTGAGATAGCCTGTTTTGATAGATGTATTGAGGAGTCGCGGTGCGGTCTCCATCCGCCGTTTGGCTGGTATCTCGGTGTGACTGAAGGGTACTCACTTCTTGCACTCCTGTGTCTCATTGGATTGTTGATGACTGAAGGGTACTCACTTGTTGAGGCACTCCTGTGTCTCACTGGATTGTCGAGCGGGCACAGCGACTGAAGGGTACTCACTTGTTGAGGCACTCCTGTGTGACCGTCTCGTTGGGGTTGTTGAGCGGGCACAGCCGGATGACAAAGTTGCCCTTGTGGTTCGCCGTCAGCTCGGCCTCCACGTCAATGATCTGTAAACAGAGCAGGAGTGATCTTTAAACAGAGCAGGAGTGGTCTGCGAATGGAGCCACTATGATCAATGGACCGAGCCGGTATGATTTGCGATCAGATTTGGATTGACTTGTGAACGCAGCCGGTGTGATCATCTGTGAAAAAGATCGGAATGACCGGTAAAGCGGAATAGAGCCCAAATAATCTGATGATGGAATCAGAGTGACTTGTGAGCCATGCCTCCGGGTCGGCCCTCACCGCTGCGCTGACGTCACAGGCGGCCCACATCGCCTTCGAGCCACCGACCCAGACCGGTGTCATACGGTGTGGGTAGACTGTGCCACTTGACAAATAAGTGAAGAGGCACAGTCTACCGGTACCAGGCGGCTGCTGCCAATGCTGAGCCATAGGAACCCGGTGGATAAAGAGTAGTGGAACATCAATCTGCCCCCGAGTGTAAACGCGGACTGGGAGAGGAAATACGTCCTTTCCCGCCTACCCTGTGGCGCCACCCCTGCCTATTGGTTTCTAACAGGTCCAAATTCCTCAAGCGATTCAAATACCTGAGTTCTGTGTACGTACAGTTAGCACCAGTGGGCAGTAGCGCCTGAGCGCTACTCAGGCGCCACCTGCCCGCATACGGAGAGGACTTATTTTGTAGACCTACTGTACGGTCGAACTGACCAGCATTAGTATTCTTTCGATTACGTGACAAAAGATCGTAAGACAAAAGATCGCATGGAAAAAGATCGTACGAAAATTATCGTAAGATAAAGATCGTATGTTGTAAAAGATCGTACGGTAAAAAGATCGTAAGCAAAAGATCGTAAAGCAATTGATCGTATGCAAAAGATCGTACGAAAATGATCGTAAGATAAAGATCATATGTTGTAAAAGATCGTACGACAAAAAGATCGTAAGCAAAAGATCGTAAAGCAATTGATCGTATGAAAAAGATCGTAGGAAAATGATCGTAAGCTAAATATCGTATGTCGCAAAAGATCGTACGACCAAGGATCGTAAGCAAAAGATCGTAAAGCAATGGATCGTACAAAAAAGATCGTAGGAAAATGATCGTAAGATAAAGATCGTATGTTGTAAAAGATCGTTCGACAAAAGATCGTAACGTTACGTTCGTCAAGTAAATAATCGTATAGAATAGTGTTGTTACGAGCGAGCGAGCGCAGCGAGCGAAGCGAAGTCTTTTGAATATAACGGGAAAATCTCAGAATGAGCGGCCCGGCCCGGCCCGGCCCGGCCCGGCCTGTAACGCTTTTGAGAGGCTTATATCTCAGCAACCGCTGAACCGATTGGCCTGCGGTCTTTTTTGCTGGGTAGCCCCATCCCTTCTTCCCCGTAATTGACTACTTTTGATACATCTCAGTGGCCGTCGTGGCACGTGCCACGTGAGAAGTCAAGGGTGTTCAAGCAGTTTTGCAAAAGTAATGATTTGAGAGGCCCATATCTCAGCAGCGGCTTGAGCGATTGCCTTGCGGTAATTTTTATAGGGTAGCCGCATCCCTTCTACCAAAGGTCGGATACCCTTGATCTATGTGAGTGACCCCCAATGCACGTGCAAAATACAAAAAGAAGAGGTGCCAAATTTGTTCCCATTTCAGTAACTCGGTAATTACATGCCGGTCTTTTAGGGCCCCACGCTGACCTCTGAGGTCCCATGTTGGCCTGTAATGAGTAAGGACCCACATTAGCCTCTGAGAGCCCAACTCGGTCTCTGATGGTCTCAAACTACTGGCCTTTGTAGTTTCCAGGCCCTGTATTGGTCTCTGAGGGCCCTAAACTGGCCTCTACGTGAAAACATACATGGGTGGGTTTCTGAAGATCAGAGGCCAGAGGGCTCACGCAGTCTCCGGCACAGCCTTACGTTGGTCCTGATCGAGATTACTTTACGTCCTGATGGTCCCGCGCAGATTCCCTCATATTTCGACGTTGGGACCCATGAGCCGGTGTGGGTCCTGGGGCTGGCAGAGGCTGATGAAGTCCTTAGGGCTCAGGGCCAGTCTTTTTAGCAGGACTAGGCAGGTTGAGTGAGCCCCAATAGAGCCGTTGCGAAGCCCCGCGGAGTCGCGCGCGGCCCTCAGATACCAATTTTGAAAGCTCGGAACCTGTGGGGGTCTCTAGAGGTCGGTGTACCTACGCTCTCCCGCCGCCACACAACTACGTACTTATATGCGTAAATGTCATAGTCTGAAAATGCTCTCTGGGTTTCACATGCTTGTTCAAAGCAAGAGGTATCTGTACATTTCCGAATTGTTTTATAGTGGTAAGGTCATGAATCCGCGTGCCTGACCTTCCAGTATACCTATGCTACACCGATCCGTCGTCATGGTGCAGTGGCCCGACCGGTGGAAGCACCGTGGGACGGGAAATGGAACTGGTGATTTTGCCTTAAATTGAGCTTAATTATTTCACGTAAGAATGAGATGGACGAAGCATAAGTAATGCCAACTGCGCGGCGCCTCGTGGACGTAAAAAATTAGCCGATCCCCCCCCCCTCCCGGTGACGGATAAATGTTATGTCCCGCGAGTGTGACTTTGGCCCCCCCCCCCCCTTTTGCTAGCGGCTGCGACCGCCAGTGGACTATGGTCGAGCTTACGACGGCCACTTACTACGCGAACACAGAAATTGATAAGCTTTGTATGCGCTGGAGTTGGGCTGCACCATGTGAATAGTGAATACCATATTTTGACTGTACGATCTTTATCTCATACGATCATTTGGCGTACGATCATTTTCCTTGACGATCTTTAGCGAATACGATCTTTTGTCCATACGAGCATTATGCCGTACGATCTTTATCCATTACGACTTTTTGGCATAGATCATTTTCCTTGACGATCTTTAGCGAATACGATTTTTTGTCCATACGATCATTATGTCGTACGATCTTTATCCATTACGACTTTTTGGCATACGATCATTTTCCTTGACGACCTTTAGCGAATACGATCTTTTGTCCATACGAGCATTATGTCGTACGATCTTTATCCATTACGATATTTTGCATACGATCAACTGCCTACGATCTTCTGCCATACGATCTTCTGCTTTACGATCTTTTGTCCGGTTACCTATTCTTTCATAGGAGGTTTATTTCTGTTTAAAGGAAATAGTTCACTTTTTAACATGGGTTTTGAACTGGAATAGCAGTTCCGTAGCCTGGGCTGAGACGAGCATAAATCAGGAGCTTTTACAGCCCAACGATCACCCTAGGCAAAGATATTCTATTTCTCGTCCCGAAAAAGGTGTCTTGCGTTGAGGATGTGTGCCTTGCATATATTCGCATCCAGTATGAAAAGAGCATGGGTACCGAAAATTCTTCAGAAACTAGAGAAATTATCTACGAGAACTCTAGAGAAATTCTCGTACTGATCAATAAGGACATTCAGCAGCAGCAGATCGCCCAAATGCCGGTGGCCGCGATCATTTCTCTAGTTTCTGAAGAATTTTCGGGACCCATGCTCTTTTCATACTGGATCGCCTGTGCCTTACAGAAACTGAAAAGTTCTTCTTATTATCAAAATATAGAAAATAATATTTTGTTATAAATAGGTTTTATTTTCTTTGCTGATCATTTTGAACATAAAAAATCATAAATCCATTGCAAAAAAAAATAATTTCGTGAAAGTGAACTATTTCCTTTAATGGCCCCAGTTTTTTTTGGGGGGGGGGGGGGACTGACGGCGACGCATTCCCCCGTTCCCCGCCCATTTCACGACCCCCATGCGACACGCATCACTTTGTGTTGCTATATATTGTTATTGCCGCAAACTCCGTTCCCGTCTTTTCATGAGCGAAATTGTCTTTTACTCTGGCCACTTCAAACTGAATACAACACATCGAAGACACCTTGGTCCCACGATTCAGGTTTGGACAGCACATGAAATTGACTCGTACAACGTACATGCATGCACACATTCCAGTTCCCGCCTAGCTATAATTAGATATGGCACAAATGAAAAGGCGTGCGACGAAACCACGGGGTCCAATAATAGCTTCCAATAATCCCTTGCTTGACACTTCGCGGATGGCTCGCGGACAAAACCAGATGGCGATACTATCTCCCTTTAGTGTCTGCCGCTGTCGCCGGCCGAGATTCTTATATAACTCTGTCAGCTGGGCGGGATGTGACGGTCGGCCGGCGCGCTGTGCCGCTCCGGCCGCCCCGCTCAGCAGCCGGCCAGCCGCTCAGCAGACGGCCGGTCGCTCAGCAGACGGCCAGCCGCTCAGCAGCCGGCCGCCCCGCTCCGCAGACGGCCAGCCGCTCGGCAGACGGCCAGCCGCTCAGCAGACGGCCGGCCGCTCAGCAGACGGTCAGACGGTCAGCCGCTCAGCAGACGGCCGGCCGCTCAGCAGGCGGCCAGCCGCTCAGCAGACCGCCATGATCTTGTCGAGCGGCTTGCGGCGGAAGTCGGGCACGGTGCAGTCGGCGGCCGGCAGGCCCACCGGCAGCAGCAGCACCAGCTTCTCGTTATCTGGCCGCGCCAGCAGCCGGCGCAGGCGCGGTCCGCAGTTGAGCGGCGTGCTGGTCAGCGTGGCCAGGCCGGCCTGGTGCAGCGCCGCCAGCAGCAGGCCGCACGCCAGGTGGCAGCTGATCTCGTTGTAGTAGGTGGTGAAGCGCTCGCCGCGCTCGTCCACGCCGTACGCGTGCCGGAACGCCAGCACTAGGAAAGGCACCTCGGTGAGGTACTCCTTGCGCCAGTCGGTGCCGATCGGCGCCAGGTCCTGCACCCACTGCGCCCCCATCCGCTTCTCGTAGTTGACGCGCTCCTCGTCCTCGACGATCTGGCGCACGGCCGCCTTCACCTCGGCCGACTCGACGAGCACGAACGTCCAGGGCTCGGTGTGCGCGCCGCTGGGCGCCGTGCCGGCCGCGCGGATGGCCGCCTCCACGGCAGCGCGCGGCACCGGCTCGCGGCTGAAGTGGCGCACCGATCGGCGTCCGTTCAGCTCGCGGTAGAACTGCTCGGCGCGGCGCACCATCTCGTCGGCGCCGAGCCGCGCCGGCCGGTACGGCACGCGCGCCGCCGTCTTCTCGGCCGGCGGCGGCGGCGCGGGGTCGACGGCGGACTCCGAGACGGACTCGTCCCTCCAGGGCGCCGGGCGGGCGGCGGCGGTGCGCGCGCGGCGCCGCTCCAACAGCAGGTGCACCACGGCCGCGGCCAGCGCCGCCAGCAGCACCGGCTGCCAGTAGGCCGCCAGAAACGGGAAATGGCTCCCCAGAGAGAACGCCATGGCTGTCCGGCCGGTCACAGGTCGCGATCACAGCCCTCGGGCCACCAGTTCTCCCGGCCACTCTGGCCCCGGGACTCTGAGCTGTGCGGTCTGTCGCAATGGACTGAGATCCTTCAGTTGCGCACGGGTCCGGACGGCGGCCCGCCCGCTCCGGCTGCCGGCTCTCACACGAGTGGCGGCCACACCAGCGTCCGCTAATGACCCGCGGCCGGCTGCGGCCTACTGACCCGGCGGCGCCCGTCGGCGGCCGTTGCGTCACCACGTACCGGCGCAGCACGGTGGCCCCTCCCGATCCGGGGGGGCCGGGGGGGGGGGGCGGCTCCCCGCGCCGGCCCTTCACTACTAACACGGCTCCGCGAGCACGCCCTCGCCGCCGATATCTCGGCTCTCGAGCGCCGCCGGACCCGACATTGACCTTGATAGGAGGCGACGCTAGATAACCCAGTTGAACCGCACGCATTCATGTTTTTTCCTCCTTTATCGTAAAAAGAAGCTTCACAATTGTAAATAAATGGTGTGCGTGCGATCTTTCGTGCCTTTTTCAGAAGAAAGTCTTTAAGACAATGATATTCTACACTCTACTTAAAAAAATATGTAAAACTTTTAACATAGTAAATCCCGCGTATATACGACCTAGCTCAAAGCCACTGAGGCCAACACTTACCTATAAATCAGTAGGTCAGAACACACTGATACGTGATACACGACTTAATTGCTCAGTTGTTTGATGCATCTACATGTTCCCAATGCATCATAACGGGTCCAGCGCGCACTCGGGTATTATGTCTTCATTAAAAATCCTTATTTGGTTTGATGGGTGGTATATTATAAATGACCTGACGGCCCGTTGTGGTGTCTCCAGAACTGATCTGACCGGTTGTGCTGTGTGACCTGACCCGGCGTAGTGTCTCCAGAACTGACCTGACCGGGTGTGCTGTGTGACCTGATCGGGTGTGTTGTGTGACCTGGCCCGTCGTAGTGTCTCCAGAACTGACCTGACCGGGTGTGTTGTGTGACCTGGTCCGGTGTAGTGTCTCCAGAACTGACCTGACCGGTTGTGTTGTGTGACCTGGCCCGGCGTAGTGTCTCCATAACTGACCTGGCCGGGCGCGTATCGGCGCGTGATGACCCCGTTGGCGAACTCGCCGCCGGCCTCGTGCGGCCGCGGCGTCTCGGAGGCGTAGTTGTCGCCGCAGACGCCGCATTTGCCGCCGTTCTGCTCGTACTGAACTGCGGGCAGACGGCCGGTGCCGTCACGGTCAGACGCTGACATGGAACAGACGACCGCCGCTGGCCGGCTCAGTGGGTATGGCGGATGACCTGCCGCCGGCCCTGACGGTGACCCGTATTGTGGCCCGGTGACCCGTATTGTGGCGGGGCCACACTGCACAGTGTGCCGGGATGAGACATTCGGTAAATGATCTGTGTGCGACACGTGCACGGACCACGGACTACCCCCTCCCCCCCCCCCCGTAAACACAGTCCAATGGTATACTCAGCCCATGTGGGGCGATTTTCTCAGCTGGCAGGGGCCGGCTGGCCGCTCGCGCGGCGCCGGGGACTGACCGACGAATCCTCCGCAGTAGAGTTCGTTGTCGTTGTAGTTGACCGGCCCCTTGAAGCCGAACCGCCAGAGCGCGTTGCGCGCTGGCGGGTCCATCAGTCTGCCATGGCCAGCAGCGTGCCGCACCTGAAACGCGCCACCTCACTGTGAACACAGATCCCGGCCAACGAGCGCCACATCTGACAGCGCCGCGCAGTGTCATCGTCGTCATCGTTACCTAATGAAAGCTCTTGAATGCAGTCCATATCCACCATATACCTACCGTAGATATGCATCCTAATTGACGTTACAAAATACAAAGGTCTTTAACATAACGACATTTTGTCGGCATTTGGTCGCCCAATCAGTGTTCTACAATCAGCCGTGTTCGGTCGGGCCCGCTCACTCTGCGGACCGGTGTCTGTCTGTCTGTCGGGACCTGGGGGCGGCCGGCGGCCCATCCCAGCCCTGGGGCGGGGCCGGTGGAGCGGTTATTGAACCGGCGCGGCGCCCAGCGACCGGGCCGGGCCGTTCCGAGTATTGGACAGCGTGTGCGTCTGTCGCGCGGCCCCTTTCTGAGCCGAGCACCCCGACCTCACGGCTGGCACCGCGGTAGGATATATGGCCTGGAGGGTAGGACCGGGGCGGCGCGCAGCGACTGCTCGTGGCAAAGTCGCTCCTCTGCCCTCTCTAGGAGAGCTGGAGAAGTCATCAGTGAACGGAGGAGTTACCGGAAGGGGATTTTAGGTTCCTTAGAACGAAGTTCTGGAATGTATTACGTAGTAATCGTCGCTTAGGAACTAAATATTTGAAAAACGATACCAGACCGGGCTGCATCACTCTTCTTATACTTGCGTAAAAGGACTACCTGCCTAGCTATTTTTACGAGTAGCTGTGCTATTTGTGCTAGAGAGAAAAGGCAATGTGGCGTCAACTATCGTTCGAGGTCGGTCACAACAACTGACAATATGTTTGACGGCAATGTATCCCCCATTACAACCGGCTCCGTCCCACGCCACGATGGTGTATGATGCTTGGGTCGGCCTCGGCAGGTTGGCAGCTCGCTCCTTTCCGAGTCTTCCTTGTCGGGTGGCCCTGGAGGCCGGTGATGCAGGCTGACGGGCGGGGAGGGGTGTCCGGGCAGCGGGGCGGGGAGGGGTGTTCGGGCAGCGCGCCCTCTGCGTCTGTCCTGCCCGGAACCAGTCCCGCCGCCCCGGCAGAGCGATGGCTGATCGCTCGGAGATACGGCCCTCTGAGAAACGATCTGGCCGGCGCCGGGCGGTGCAGGGCGAGTGTTGGTTGTTGTCCGCCGCCAGATGACCAGATAACGACCCGAGTGTACCGACCAAGCGACGCAATCGGACACCCTCCGGCCGCGCCGAGCGAGTGTGCGCCGCGCTGCGCAGTCAACAGCCGAGAGGGGCGCAGCATTCCAGCGGACGGCAGCCGGCGGAGAGTCGGCCTCGCTACACTGGCGTCTGCCCCGACCCAAATGGCCGTGCAAAGGCACAGTGGAAGGAAGGACCCATCTATTCGGGTCGGGTGGTCCGAGAGTAACCACTGGCGGGTCAGGGGATGGGGAGGAGCTGTTTCGGGACCTGGGACCTGGGAAGTCTATAAGGTAACCACTGGCGGGTCAGGGGATGGGAGAGGAGCTGTTTCGGGACCTGGGACCTGGGAAGTCTATAAGATAACCACTGGCGGGTCAGGGGATGGGAGAGGAGCTGTTTCGGGACCTGGGACCTGGGAAGTCTATAAGATAACCACTGGCGCGTCAGGGGATGGGGAGGAGCTGTTTCGGGACCTGGGACCTGGGAAGTCTATAAGGTAACCACTGGCGGGTCAGGGGATGGGAGAGGAGCTGTTTCGGGACCTGGGACCTGGGAAGTCTATAAGGTAACCACTGGCGGGTCAGGGGATGGGGAGGAGCTGTTTCGGGACCTGGGAAGTCTCTGAGGGCCGAAAATGGCTTCTCACACAGCCCCTCGATGTCCCATCCAATGATGTCGATTTGACGACACGTCAGAAGGAAGCCTGTCCTCCTACCCTCAAAAATAAGAGCAGGAAATGGTTCAGCAAGGTGATATGAGCACAAAACTGCGGATAATTTCTTCATAGGGGTGTTGAGGCTCCCACAAAGTGACATTGAAGTTTCGCAACCCCCCCCCCCCCCACACACACTTTCTGTGACGTTCCTACGCCCATGATAGGGCGGAACCAACCAATTGTTATTAAATGCCGGTTGAACGGTCCCCGGACCCAGCCGGGCGCGCCGGTCCTGAGCGGGCTGTCGGTCTGTCCGTGTCGGTCTGATCGCGCCGGACCTGAGCGGTCTGCCGGTCTGATCGCGCCGGCCCTGAGCGGGTTGTCGGTCTGTCGGTCTGATCGCGCCGGACCTGGGCGGGCTGTCGGTCTGTGTCCGAGTGCGCCGGACTGAGCGGTCTGTGTTCGGTCGTCCAGCGGCGGATATGTGGCCTATTAACGGCGTCCTCTGTCGGTTCGAGCAGCTGACGGGGCCGGCGCGGCCGACACGGAGCCCGCTGTACCGCCGCGGGGCCGAGCTGACATTGAGGGCGGCGCTCGGACCGCAGAGGCCGCTGACCTTAGACAGCCCGCCCGCCGGCAGCGCCGGCCACCTCCGGGCGCGCTGCCGGAGCTGCAGCTCGACTCAGTGCTCAGCGGACGGCGGACCCATCAACGACTGCGCCCACCCTCCCAAGAGTATTGTGTGACTGACAGAGCTCTTCCGTAAGAGTTACGGATGTCTCTTCTACACACAGTGTGGCCGTCCTGCTGAAGTTTGAGCTTCCCCGCGACTTTCCCACTAAAAATGAGCCATCAACCGTATCGTCCGGCCGCTCTGCCGCAGGGCGTGAGACCCCTCGCACCCTTGGTTGCAATGCAATCGCGAGAGCATACGCTGAAACAGGCACGCTCTCACATTTCAAAATCCATGGATTTCGGAGGAGCATAACCTGTCATATGACGCCTTACATTGCTCACCGACGTAAACAGATACGGAAACTGAACTTGTCAAATGTACACGGTAAATCCGAAGTTCTCACGTTTGAATCAGCTCCTTGTGCGGCCTACGTTTTGGAGATATATCACGAAAACCCTCGGCGCTATCCCTCGAGGCCGTCTGTCCCACTCTGCGCCCATCTTTTCCCGCTGAGCCCGTCTGTCCCGCTGAACTGCCTGCCCCACTGGATCCATCTGTCCCATTGAATGCTCTGTCTCGCTGAATCCGTCTGTTCCTCTGAGCCGGCCTGTCCCATCTGTCCCACTGAGTACGTTTGTCTCACAGAGCGCAGATACCGTATGCCTCCTGAGCCCGTCTCCCACCAATCCCGGCTGTCCCACTGACCCCGTCTGCTCCACTGCTGACCCCATCTGAGCCCGTTTGTCCCATCTGTCCCAGTGGTCGCGGAGCCCGTCTGTCCCATCTGTCCCGGTGGGCGCGGAGCCCGTCTGTCCCATCCGTCCCAGTGGTCGCGGAGCCCGTCTCTGTCCCACTCACCAGGCAGACAGAGAGCAGCAGCAGCGGGAGGACGGCGGAGGCCGGCGGCATGACGACGCACCTGGAGCGGAGGCGCAGACTGAGCGCGGTACCGGCGGTCGGCCGGTGCGCCGCCCGCCACCGGCCGCTGACCGCCGGCGGCGCCACACCGGCACCGGCACCGCCACACCGGCACAGGCACCTGACGAGCGGCGACGGGCCGGGTCCGGCACCGACACCTGACGAGCGGCCACGGGCCGGGTCCGCAGAGAGACGCCGCGCTCGGCCGACGGTCACAGGGCCACATGAGTCACCTAATGGCCCAGTCCAGTGCGGCCCGGAACAGGGGAGCTGCAGATGGGACACGACCGCAGCCCTATCCGAAAATAGGAGACCGAAAGGTACCCCCTTAGGGTTTTTTCAATAGAGAAAAATGAAAGCTGCAATTTTAGCGCCGGGAACTATTTCTATTTCTATTTCACTATTTCAAGCACATGGAATCGTGATTTCACGCACTCATTGCAAGGTCCGATGCTTCACTTTTGCATTGTTGACTGCGTGATGTCATTTATGACGTCACTTGGGTCATAGGAGTTTTTCGTCAATAACTCCCGATCAAATTGAGCTAGCGAATCGCGAAAGCCGCCAATGAACGTAGGAAGACCTGCCGAATAGAATGATATGCGACATGACCTACTTGGACCAGCTTCGTGACGTGAGGGCGCTGACCTGACCTTGACCCGAGGTCAACAACTTAAGTTTACATCACCCGTACAAAAATATACCATTCGGGGCGCCTGAGCGAGGCGAACACGATGATACCAAAATCGCGACTCTGCGACTGTTTTTGCGAAGTTATTTATGAAAAACTGAACCCGTGACTTGGGTCATTTGACCTGACCTCAGAGGTCACCGGTTGACCTGACACCGTAAAATCGGGTGCCAGTCGCTGCGTCTCGTAACGGCGCACACGCTCGCTTTTTCCTCGACGCTCTAGCTCCATCAGGAACGAAACGGCGAGGGGCAATTTTTGAAGAAAATAGTAGATGCCGCTCCGTTGGGTTTAAGTTTTCGAAAGTTCATTTCTCATTTCCAATGAAGGATTGTGAATGATACTCCTCAAAAGCAAACATATTTTCACTTTTTTGCATGGTCGTAAGCCATTGACACGTCCTCGATCTTCGAACTGTCTTGGCCTTTGCGGCTGAGCTGTTTGTTGACAGCTGTTTTCCGTTGGCTCAGCGAGAGGCTAGTGGGGGGGGGGGGGGGGGGCACGCGCCCCCCATTTTTTGGTTCAGGGGGCGTACGTGCTCTTTGCCTTAAAGGAAAAGGGCCACCTTCGTGAAATATGAAGATATCGTTGTTTTTCATTTTGGCATTATTATTTTTCATTTTCTTTTTAAAACTGGTGCCAGAAGTGCACAATTCGCTAAAAAGTATTTAAAACTATTTAACATATTGGTACTCAGGTACTATGTTGATACTCTCTACGGCACCTACTGTATGATGGCATAGCGATGACGTCACACTCAAGCCAATCAGCGTTCAGAAGACAGACTCGTCGGATTGTGTCAGATAAGCTGATTGGTTAAAGCTGAGCTGGTTGGAGCTGATTGGTAAAAAAACCAAAGCCTCGCCGCGGGTGGCTGTATTGTCGGATAAGAACGCATTCCTGGGATAAGGACGCATTCCTGGCGTGTTTTCTTTTAAAATTGCCGATAACTACGAATGGAGGCCGAAATCGGCCGTAAGGAGTTATATAGATGGGTTTTCGGACACGGGCTACAAGATGGCTATCTCAGTTTCAATCCCCATGTTAAAGGTGGCCCTTTTCCTTTAAATCTTTCGCTCCTTGAATCCCTCAGAGACACTTGACCAGAAGGTTTTTAGTTGGGAGACAGTCAGCTGTTTGGACCCGTGTGTGACATTTGCTATACCTGCGAGGTACGACCGCAACCCATTTCAAGCCTAATCGCATCAGAAACCCGTTCAGTCGCAGAGGGCCTAATGCCCATGAATCGCCGTATGAATCCGCCGCGCTTCACCGGAAATGATAAAGGTTTAAGAATTTCAGCAACGAACACGTAGGATCGATGTTCAGGCTTGCTACAAAAAGACTGCAGCCTCCGTACTATGGGACGCGGGATGAAGTACGCGGTGTGGCCGCCAGGTGGCGGTGAGTGCGCCAGCTGCCGACAGGTGGCACTACTGTCTGGCAGTTTCCCGACCGCCCGCGTCCGTAACCACCACCGGCCTCGCACCCACCGGGCGGCCCACTAGTCCGAACCAGGAGACTGGCGTGCCCGTCCCCACCCGCCGGCCACCCGCGACAGACTGGCCTGGTACAACACATGTATTATCTGCGCCGAACGCCAATGCGATGCGATGAGACGGGCGGGACGCAGCTGGGTGCCGGGAGGGGTGCGATGAGGGACTGGAATCCAGCCGGCAGCGGCGCCGCTCACTTCTTGGCGAAGGCGATCTTCATGGCGTGCGAGTGGGTGATCTTGAAGCCCTGGAGGGCGTTCTTGGCGGCCGTCGACTGCATCTCGTTCTCGAACTCGACGAAGGCAATGTCGTGCCGGCCGGGCACCAACCGCACCTCCTTGAAGCCGGGGAACCTGAGCACACACGCACAGGGGGCGGGGACTGGTCAGAGTGGGTGGTACGGCCAGACCAGTTACATTCTGTGGCTCGGTCAGACTGGTTAGTAGTTAAACTGACTGGGACGGTAAGAATGAGTGTGAACGTTTCATAAATTGGACGGCCCTGCTATTAAGACTTGTCCGTGGTTAACATTGGTCCATGATAGTTAACTAGTGGGACACCGCCCAGTGAACTAGTGGCGTGGCACCACTCTACTCTGCACAGGCCACAGCTCAGTGAACTAGTGACGTGGCACCAATCTCTACTCCCGCACAGGCCACTGCTCAGCGTCCCGAGCGGGCGCCGGCGCGGCCATCTGAGAGCAGCCGGCCGCGCCCCGGCGCCGGCGGCGTCACTCACTGGTTGAAGAGCATCTGCAGCATCATCTCGTTGGTCTCCTCGGGCAGGCTGGTGAGGAAGAGGATCTGGTTGGGCGGCTGCTCGGGCACCACCACCGGCGGCGGCGGCACCATGGCGGCCACGGGCGCCACCGGCGCCGGCTGCGGCACCGCCGCGCGCGCCGCCGGCATCGCCACCGGCGCCGGCACTGCCACCGGCGCCGGCGCGCGCTTCTTGGCCTTCTTGTTGGGCGGGTCGCGGCGCTTGGGCCGCTCTACATAGGTGCCCTTCAGCTTGGCCACCGCGTCCGACTCGGACTTGCAGTACTGGATGCGCTGCGGAGAACCGAACGGCAGTGGCAGCCCACTCAGCTCAGCGGCAGAGAACCAGACGCACTCGCCCAGCTCACAGCACAGCACGACGCACAACACATCAATGTCGCAGACAACTCATCCTAATTCAGGGACATTCATACTACCTACGTGGTCGCATTGGAAATTGGTACTGATTGCCTAAATTTCGGCTTTAAATCTTTGCTTTGTAACATGAAGTGATTCAAATAATAAAAAACAGTTTATGACTCATGACTGAGTATTTGGATAGTTTGTGGCTCCATATTTTGACCTGGGTTCAGGCCTGAATTGTGCTCTATTGTGGCAAGGAAAAGAAGTGACGATAAATGCCGTATCCGCTGCATTTTACAGCGCATATTATTAATAGATAAAATTAGGGGTAAAGCACACAAGTACAAACATACATACTGATACATTCGTGAAAAAGTACATGCCTGAGGCAAAGACGCATCCTTAGATAAGCACTATCATACACAAAACCAGTAAGAAGCCTTTTAGGGCGACAAACGAGCAAGCGCGAGTGTGAGCCCCGCACATGCAGAAGTAGCAAGTGGTACATAACCTGACTGGTGCCGTCCACCCGACTAACTGGCCCCTAACCGTAGCCAAATTTTAGCGCCAAATTTTAGTCAATATTGCGTGTTTGAACATCCCATTGTGATTTTTTTTTGCAGATATCTAAAAAACGGCGGTGCCCCGCGCCTCCGATCTTGGCACACCTGTTCATGCATCTTTTTTCCGCACATGTTAAAATTTCAGACCCAGGTCTCCCTAGATCAGGTCACCAGAATGACCTGACCTCAGAAAAAGTTAGAAACTTGGTCATTGGTACACCGAATGAACGAGCCCCTTGAAACTTTCAGTGATTGATAGCAGTAGCAGTATACCTGTACAAAATGTTTATCTGGGAATTTCGATATCGGTGACCTAAGGTCAAATCAACTTTGCGACCTCTATTATAAGTCGATGTGAAATGAAAGGCGTCTCTTTTGGACAAACGTCATTCTACTCTCAAACACCGTGTTACAGGTAAACTTGACAATCTGAACCGAAAAATGACACCCGTGACCTCTTTTAATGTCCCTGGGGTCATATCAGTTCATGAAAGGTCCCAAACAATTTTTACAATAACATTTGATAAAGACACACTAAAGCGATGAAAATGCCTCAGATCTGTTCAGCTCGACGATGCAAATCGACGGATATGCAACATGGCCTTTTCCGGTCAGATCATAACCTTGACCTGAGGTCGAATTTTCAAAATGACCATTCAAGGTCAACGTATAGTTTATTCGACGCGTCTCGACGAGAGGAACACGATGCTGGCAAAATAACTGTCGTCGACTTCTTGAGTCAAAGGTTACTGCAGAAAACGTTAGTCATAAAAACTGCTATTTGGGAGTTTTTGCAATCTGGAGGCTAAACCGTTGAATCGAGGTCAAATCCCCTATGATGACCCCTGGGCCCTGTTTCACCGGTGATAGCAGCAAGCTGCTTTTACACGTGTCAAATTGGGTTTCCATGGAAACATCAACAGGCCCATTGCTCCAACACTACCACAAGTGTGACGTCATCTCGCGCAATTTGATAGTAGCGTGGTAGCAGCGTCCCGTGAAACACCGCCCTGGCGACCGAACTTTGACCTGACCTAAAAAATGACTGAAGTATTTTAAATTTATACATTATATCTGACGCTCTTTCGAATGCTGCTAACAGCGTGTCCCTACGTGCCCTGGGGCCGAGTTAGACGGGGGGGGGAGGAGGGTTCAGGGACAGCCCTCTGCCCGGCGCGGGTTAATCATAGTGTATGAATAGGAGGCTGACAGCAAAATTAGCGTAATAAGAATGACTTGATACCATAGGCCAGAACAATACCATGAGCACCCACCATTGGCTTCTCATAAAAAGGGAATCCTTGCATTGAACGCAGGGCATTTGTTGCACTTGATATATCCTTGAATACAACAAAGGCCTGGCCTCTCATCTTCAGGTTCTTCAGTGCCACAATCTCCAAAATTTGGCCAAACTGTGAGAATATGGCGTATAGGGATTTCTTCAAATCTGGAAAAGAATATGTTTTATATTATTTACATCCATTATTGCTCACAAAATACCAGCAATATATTTTGAATGGGAAATGAAAGTTTTAGATATTTCAATGGGAGAATGCAAAAAGAAATCCAAGGTAATTAATCATTCACTTTCCATATTACCATGTTTTGTACATAGATACCTTTATTACATGAGTGGCCTAGATCATGCAATGCTGAAGCTTGGTGTGCAGTGCTCAAGAACAGGAGATCTCAACATAAATAGGAAATACCTACAGTCTGCATAGTTACCTACTTAGTTTGGTTAAAAGTTACATCTGATAATAGACATACCTGTCTTTTTCACCTTCTCATTCAGGTTATTGATGTAAATTGTCTGGTTCGGACGATTCTCCATCTGAAATACAAATATAAGGTAGGCGGTTAAAAACGGGGAATATTTGTTTCTGGTCCCTAAAAAGCTGTTTCTGGCACCTAATTGCTGATCAGCCCCAAAATGCTTATTCGACCCTAATATCTGAATCTGGCACCTAATTGCTTCCACACAGCCTAAAGTTGCCAGATCGTCTAGTTGAACTCCGTATTTGCTGTTTGCTGATTCAGCACCAAAACCAAAACATCCAGCACCTATTTTATTCCACGTTTGCCTACCTAATTCGCGTAATCTTCCTGATTTTATGTATCCTAACAACATGAACGTTGCATTCGGTGATGTCAAGTGCCATTTTCGCCAGTGGAGATTATGATTAATGCCATTTCTAGCCAAAAGAGAATCACTAGCCAGCTATGGTGCAGCATAGCAAGACGCTCCTATACCAGCCCGCTATGTAGAGACTAGACATTATTGCACCCTCAGCCATTTTAACGTGAAAAGTTTGGATCCGTCACTTCCAGCCAGGCTCTCAGGTCATAAACTGGAGTAAAGCAAAATGTCAACTCTGAACAGACATGCCACGCAACCAGCCCTCTTTTCAATATTATTAGCTTTCTGCAATCATCGTCTGACTCCATCTCGATCAAACGCAGCATCCGGTTTCTACAGGGGCGTTTGACTGACCGGCCACACAATAACCAAAAACAAAATCAAAGCTTCATGCACACATATGACATAAGTAAGAAACGGATGAAAAAGGCACAACCACGGCACAACTCTGCGTGGCAAACAACGGACAATGTCCCACGCAAGATCCCGCGTTTCTTCAGCGGCCTTGAACGGAATGAAAACATTACATTTCTTTTTTTGGAGCTATTTGATGACGTCAAAAAATACAATACCCGTTTTAATGGTCAAAATCGAGACAATTACTCACAAAAATGTTTCCCTTTAATCACTACAAATAAATACTTTTAAATATTTAAACGACATTGTTTTTTTCAAACAAATCAATATTATTTGCTTACTTAAACGTCATATACAATGCTGAGATCACTACGGGGCTGTCTTAGAGTGTAGCTGCACTGGCAACCTTTAGGCTAGACTCCTGGGGTCATTATACCAGAACAACATGATTCTACCAGCCAGTAGTTCATTTTTCTACTAGATTGGTGCTACGCTCAGCATTTAGGTGCCAGATTCAGAAAAAAGAGTAAGGCGTACCGATGAATAGGTGCCAGAAACAGCTAATTAAGGTCATTTTCCATGATTGGTGCTGGTATCCACCAAATAGGTGCTGAGGACCAATTTTGGGGCGAGTCAGCTTTTAGGTGCCAGAAATAGCTTTTCTGGGACGCAATTAAATGGCGTCCGTTAAAAACTAAGGAAGTTCATGTGGAAAGGAATGCAATGATTTAAATGCATTATCTGAGGCTTATCTAATGCTTCTTTTGTGATATCAACATAAATCTAAACATAGTGGACAGATAGTTTGTCAGCATCCTGCAAGAAATGAGTTAATTCTTAACTTGAACTGATCAGCATGCTGATGCATATGAATTATGTAACAAAGCATTAAAAGAAAAACCTCAAGGCAGTTCCTCCCTAGTTGATAACTACAATATTGAAAATTAATTTTTGAAACTGACTCACCTTAATCCTCTAGCTCGAACTGAGTGGTAGGTATGAGAACAGCTGCGTTTCGTATCGGTGCAGTCTATGGAAATTCAACATTAAAGGGTATCATCTGAGTCCAGTACAAACTACAAAGTGTTGCTATTTTAATTCAAGGGCCATAGACACTTCCTAAACATATAAGTCCACTGGTCAAAATGATGAAGTTCAAGTGCAGTAACTGAAACAAGAACAATGAAAGCATTACATTACGATTAAGCCAAACAAACATTACCTAGGTATTCCAATCCAATTCCAACCTAATACCTTTATTTTAAGGTAAATTGATATTCTGAACTTAAAAACGTCAGCAAAATACAAGGTCGGATTTCTCTATTTCTCTGGAATATAATATACAATATGATAAACTTTTAATGATCAAGGCTGAGGCATAATGATCAAATCAAAATGCTAATGGGAACAGGGTATCAGTATAGTTTGGCAACACCCAAAACCGAGAGCAAATTATATAGCATTTTTATATAGGTACCTTGGGGTTGGGCTATACACAGTTTAGATAAATAGGGCTTTATAAAACATAGAAAATAGAGAGGGCCGAGGGGTAACAATTGGGCAGCACCTCTCTGCACGACCGCTTCCGGCGGCTTCCGGCGGCACCGGCAAAATACAACAGTGACAGAAGCGCCACCGCTAAGGGGGCAGCCATATTTTAACGCAGGAGTTTTTTATTGTGCGCTTGCTGGTAAATAAAAATGAAAAAATGGCCAAAATTCGCCAGATTCATTGGGCAAATAATTTTTAATACAACTTTTCTATTGCATAGGTAACCCAAAAAAGAGAAAGAAAAGTAAAATACATGTTCAAGGCCATCAGTATAGATGCCGCTACCAGTCAGCGTGCACAAACTGGCGCAAACCTTCTTGCCCCGCGTTCGATGTAGTATCTCGGACGACGAAGATTCTACGTCGTCCGGCCAATCACGTTCCATAACCGCAGGCGAGCCCCCGCTGACCTTGAACGCGATTGGCCGGACGGCGTAAAATCTTCGTCATCCGGGAGACATCGAACTCGATATACCGTGACTTTTTGAAAAGGACGCGTGTATATCACACCACGGTGAGATTTACATAATGCATCGCACTGTAGTGTAAACCTCACCCGGGTGTGATTTACACAATACACTACTCCTGTGTATATCACACCACGCGGAGTGTGATTTACACAGTGGGCCGGCAATGCGTAAATCACACCGGGGTGTGATATACACAATGTGCTCCTAGTGTGTAAATCACACCCGGGTGTCAGACCACGCAGCACCTGGGTGTGATTTACACAGTAGGCCTAGCCAATGTGTAAATCTCACCAGGGTGTGATATACACTGTGTGCTCGGTAGTGGGTAAATCACACCTGGGTGTCAAACCACGCAGCACCTGGGTGAGATTTACACAGTAGGCACGGTAACAAGACACTTAACCAAACCTTAGACCTGACCTGACCTAACCTAACCTAACCTAACCTAACCTAACCTAACCTAACCTAACCTAACCTAACCTAACCTAACCTAACCTAACCTAACCTAACCTAACCTAACCTAACCTGACCTACTGATTTTTGCCTACCCGTGGATGAGGAAGAAGTTACTCGCATGAAGAGATTGCAAGCAATGGTAAGTCAAATATTTTTAGGTTAAGTGGTTGTGCATCAGGCTTCAGGCCTTCGGCCTGAAGCCAGATACACAACCACTTAACCTAAAAATATTTGACTTACCATTGCCTGTAATCTCTCCTAAGGCATTGCCTTCGGCACTGCACCGCTTCGCCACGAGCATTCAGACGTCGCTTTCCATATTGTATTGGTGCTTTTAAACTTGTCGGTCGGCAGCGAACCCACCGCTACCAAGGAAAAGCGAAAATGCGGGAAAAAGCGCCCGCGCCGACGGGACTCGAACCCGCAACATTCGTATCATGGTGCAAACACCTTCACCACTAGGCCAGGCGGTCAGTTAATTCCGAGAGAGAGGACGCCCGGAATCCCGCCGGAATATTCGTAGTGCTTAGTCTGATCTGACCAATGGGCGAGCAGAGTCACTGCTCTGACCAATGGACGTTCAGCGTTGCTATGACGTCACATCGTGGTGAGATATACACACAGCTGCCCTCTCTGTGTATTCCTGGTGTGATTTACACTACGTAGTAGATTTTGTGTATATCACACCGGGGTGGGTGTGATTTACACAAATGGCCGGTATTGTGTAAATCTCACCGTGGTGTGATATACACGGTCCCCTTGATATAGCCACCGTCGTCAAGTTAGATGTAAGTGAATCCTAATCTATAATCTAAGATTCGGAATCAGGTGAGCCCCTACGATTTGGACCAAACTTGGTCAGTGGATAGTACGTAACGTCCTGATTACGATGCACCCAAAATCTAAGCTCGGCCCGCCATATTTACGAAGTTACGGATGTTTGAATTTCAAGGTCATTCGGGAGAGCCCCTACGATTTCCGTCAAAATTTGTGTACGGACACTCTAGATGCTCTTCATTACGAATATCACAAAATTTAAGCTCGGCCCGCCATATTTACGAAGTTACGGAGGTTTGAATTTCAAGGTCATTTGGGTGAGCCCCTACGATTTCCGTCAAAATTTGTGTACGGACACTCCAGACGCTCCTCATTACGAATATCGCAAAATTTAAGCTCGGCCCGCCATATTTACGAAGTTACGGAGTCACAAAGTTACGGAATTTCAAGGTCATTCGGAGAGCCCCTCCGATTTTCGTCAAAATTTGTATGCGGACACATTACATGCTCCTCATTACGAATATCATAAAAGCTAAGCTCGGCCCGCACTATTTCAAAAGTTACTGACGTTTGAAACTCACTGAAATTCAAACATCTCTATCTTTTGAAATAGTGCGGGCCGAGCTTAGCTTTTATGATATTCGTAATGAGGAGCATGTAATGTGTCCGCATACAAATTTTGACGAAAATCGGAGGGGCTCTCCGAATGACCTTGAAATTCCGTAACTTTGTGACTCCGTAACTTCGTAAATATGGCGGGCCGAGCTTAAATTTTGCGATATTCGTAATGAGGAGCGTCTGGAGTGTCCGTACACAAATTTTGACGGAAATCGTAGGGGCTCACCCAAATGACCTTGAAATTCAAACCTCCGTAACTTCGTAAATATGGCGGGCCGAGCTTAAATTTTGTGATATTCGTAATGAAGAGCATCTAGAGTGTCCGTACACAAATTTTGACGGAAATCGTAGGGGCTCTCCCGAATGACCTTGAAATTCAAACATCCGTAACTTCGTAAATATGGCGGGCCGAGCTTAGATTTTGGGTGCATCGTAATCAGGACGTTACGTACTATCCACTGACCAAGTTTGGTCCAAATCGTAGGGGCTCACCTGATTCCGAATCTTAGATTATAGATTAGGATTCACTTACATCTAACTTGACGACCGTGATATAGCCTTGGTTTGGGACGCCGGTGAAAACAGGGCGCCTGGGGCGTTTTGATCAAGGCTCTTGAAATTCGCTTTCGTGGAGCACGTGACCGAGATTTCGACTTGGCCCATGGGTGGTTTTTTAGCTATTACCTGCTACGGTGAACCAGAATTTAATTTATACATTCATTGCGCGGCTGTTACAAAGAGTGATACACACACATTGGGCACACTCTGAACCAAGGCTATATAACTCTGAACTAAGAGAGTGTTGTTGAGTTTTGCTGTTTTATGAATGTTTAATGTGTTTTTAACTACCTCAATCTCGCTTTTACAATATCTGAGACATGAACATGGCAAGCTTTTAAAATAAAATAACACCACATTCCTACATCAGCATGAGAAGAGGGACATTTTTGGTTTTAAGACAATTTGGACAATTTTGGACAATTTGGCGATAAAGTGATAATAGGGGCAGGTTTGGTGAGAATTGGGTGCATTCGCCGGACAGCCCGTCGTGAAAACGGCTAATATTTTTTCCCTTTGCAGTTGAAGATGCAGAATGGCTCTGCCCCGTGTGCCGCAGCAAGCCACAGCCTGCCGGAGAGAGCACATCAACATAGTAGAAAACGTAAGTGGTTATGTGGAGTGACCAAGTGTAATGACACTTATGAGTAGTTCTTCTTATGTTGTGTGCTTATTTCACTCTCCATGCTTTATTTCACGTGTTACCTAATTATAACTTATATTATATCTGTGTCGAACAAATTAAGTATTAACTGATGGAAATCTGACCACTTGCGCAACCCATCTTCTCACAGCATGGACATCCGGAGAGAACTATGCGGCATGACAAACTCTACGAGCACTGGTGGTTCCTCCCTGCCGTCTCACGGCAGCGGCGCGACGGTGTCGAGAACGGTGGCTTGGTCAGCGGGGAATCCGGCGAAGCGCTGCGCGCTGAGGGTGGGTGATAGATGACCGGTCACTGAACAATGAAGCGAGTCAGATCATTGGGCGCAGTGATTACCAGCCACGCATCGCGGCTGGTCCGCGGAAGTTATTGCTTTGATGTCGGACTAAGTCACACAATGTTTTGTCACATTCTAGAGTGATGCTGACAATGGAATGCATCGCTAATTTGCTTCCGATGCTGCCTTAACGGTGATATGAGATGCGTGATAAACCGTTTGTTTGTTTGTTTGTTTGTTTGTTTCGTTGGGTTAGGCCCTTTCGGTCCGATGAGACCATTGCAGAGCCGGGAGGATGATATGACTTGGGGGGGAGGGGGCATGGGGCGAGCACCCTAGTGAGTCGCCGGGGCTGAGCCCATTTAAATGGGCAGGCCACCCAGCCCCCAGGCTACGGGCGTGCTCGGCTTATGGGCAATCCCGCATGGAATAAAGTTGCACGTCCAGCCCGGACCAGGGGGTTGAGGCGTGGAGAAGAAGGGTTTGAATGTCCTAAGGATGGAAAGGAAACGACGGAACGGTATGTGGTAAATCGTCAGAGGTATGTCACTAGTTATGTGACAAGCAACAAGACCTTAGACAGCAAAACATGTGAAGTGTGAACACCACATCAATGGACTGGACGACACATATGGGCATCACAGCATAACTAATGACAATAACTAACGTAGCTAATAACATTAGGCACGTGCATAGCATAGCATAACTAATGCATTGCAATTGCGGGGGGGGAGGGGGCACTCCTGGTCACCTGATAATGGGTGGTAGCTTAGAAAAGAATTAAATGACTTGTCTATCAATCTTTGTGCCTTAACGTACCTGGTAGATATAGTCCATAGTTGCAATTACGCGTATGCCATAAATACTTTTCGATTGTGCACTCATTCCGCGCAGACCTCGCATTCATAGGTGGCGTCCTAGCCCAGCGGAAGTATTCTAGGGGGCGCTGTTTGCGGCAATGGATTGTGAACTTCTAACTACGTTCCTTGCAATATGATACTGACAGATGTGAATACAAGTATCCAAGACATTTGTCAAAAGAAAAAAAGAACAGCATATAAGGAGAAAATCACCTGATACTAAAAAAGGCAAAGTTGCAAGCCTTTCAAACACACTGCGATGCGTTACTTATAATTTAGTATCACTTGACGTTACGGACAGGGGCCCTCAGGATGCCCTCAGGGCATACTACGGGCACCGTAGCGCCATCTCTTTGGGATCTCTAAAAGCATGGCCTGCGACCTGCACCACTAGGCAGTGACAACTATCTGGTCATATAGGTAGACGGCGTGCTTACAGATGATATAGCAATTCTGCCTCGATTTTTTTATTTGCTCGGTTTGAAGTTAACCGAACTTTTAAAAGTACATTTTAAATTTGAAAACTTGTAATAGCTACTAAAACATTTTAAAACTTTGCCCAACTGGTGAAGGACGAACTCCGTGTCATCACGAGTGTGACAAAATCATTCAGAGTCGGAAAGTTCACTCCAGGGAAACCTCGTTTACTGATTGTTACCCTGGAAAGTGAAGAACTGAAGTGGGAGATCATCCGTCTAGCCCCACAACTGCGCCACAGTCAGAAATGGCCGAGAGTATACCTCTCTCCTGACTTAACGCGCACAGAAAGGGAAGACGCACGCAGGCTTAGAGACGAACTCAAGAGAAGGAAGGAAAATGGTGAGCTGCACCTGACAATTCGAAACAGAAGGATTGTGGAAATTGGAAGGGAAACATCACACTCCAGGGCCTTGACTGGCCAGCCGCTGGAGTCGCAACAGCAGACTAGACAGGCACCCGCATCAACTGGGGCAGACATGACCCAACACCAAGAAACTATCCAACAGGAGGTGGAACCGGTACCTGAAGTCGGTCAGGCCTCTGCTGCTGGCACGGGCTCTGTGCCGGCTGTGAATGCTGATGCTGAAGCAGCCTCAGGGGCGAGCAACTCGGCAGCCAATCCAAGAACGGCCTGACTGACTGAGGGCAGGACGGGGAGGGCCCAGGCAGGCTTAACATGTGTATACACGAATGCAGATCAGTTCCTGAACAAGAGAGATGAACTGAGTATGTACATCGCCGGTACTAGACCTGACATCATAGTGATAACAGAAGTCATTCCCAAAGCCCAGTCCCTGCCCATCAGCCCTTCCCAGTTAGCTCTACCTGGTTATGTGACATTCACCAGCTTTGAACCAACAGCTCCTCGATTGGGGTCATCAGGATTGAGAGGAATATGCTTCTTTGTGGCTGCGCACTTATGTGTGACCCAAGTTCAGTTTTCAAATGACTTCTCAGAGCAACTCTGGCTGAAGGTACGACTGGGGGGCTCCGATGAGCTCATCCTAGGTGGCATCTACCGTAGCCCCTCCAGCGACTGTCAGTCCACAACGATGCTTTGCGACCTTCTCATTGAAGTTACAAGAGCTAACCCATCTCACCTCGTCATTATGGGGGACTTCAACTTCAATTCTATTGACTGGAGCTGTTGTATGTCTCTTGGTCCACCGTCTGACCCGGCCCATGCGTTTCTGGAGGCGGTTCGAGACAGCTTCCTCATCCAGCATGTCAAGCGACCAACACGTTACAGACATGGTAACACCCCCAACGTCCTGGATCTGATATTTTCTAATGAGGAGGGCATGATATCCGAAATCACTCACCTCCCTCCTCTCGGGAACAGCGACCATGAGGTGTTATGGTTCGAGCTGCACTGCTACACACCTGGAGCAGGCAACCACACAGCCAAGTTGAACCTAAGCAAGGGTAATTATGCAAAGATGGTGAATGACCTCCAAAGCGTGTCGTGGGCCTCGTTAGAGTCGGTCCCGCTGGAAGAACACTGCAAGCTCTTCTCCGAGACCATCAAGGTGATGATGACAGAGAACATCCCGCTTCATCGATCCCATCAGAGGAAGAACATCTATGTAACAAGAGAAGCCTGGACTCTAAGAAATAAGAAAAATAAGCTCTGGAAGAAATACGTGAGAACTCGAGACGTGGAGTGCTACAATCGTTTTGTCCGCGCGCGTAACGACCTGAGAAGCCTCACCAGGCGGTTGAGGCGGAGGTTTGAACAGACTCTGGTTGATTTGCTCAAAGACAACGTGAAGCCTTTTTGGAGATATGTCAACTCACGTTTGAAAACTAAGCCTGGCATTGGAAACCTCAGAAAGGCTGATGGCTCGTTAGCACTTTCAGATCAGGAGAGGGCGGACGTGCTTGCTGAGTTCTTTGCCAGTGTCTTCACCGTGGAGGACTGTTCGAACATGCCTGACCTGGCGTCTCCATGGGAAGGACGAACACTAGAGCGTGTTGAATTGAGTCCTGCACTGGTTCAGCGCAGACTAGAGGGCCTCAAAACCTCCACCTCCCCTGGTCCTGATGGTATTCCTTCGAGGGTCCTGCGAGAGCTCGCGACCGCAATCAGTTCTCCCGTCTGCTCTCTGTTCCAGAAGTCCCTTGATAGCGGCTCTCTTCCAGACGAGTGGAAACTGGGAACTATTGTTCCAATCTTCAAAGGTGGTTGCAGACTGGAACCAGCAAACTACAGACCTGTAAGCCTGACATCCGTGCTTTCGAAGGTGCTGGAGGGCATAGTCAGAGACAGAATCATGGAGTTCCTCACGGAGACCGGGCAGCTCAACGATGCCCAGCATGGCTTCCTTCCCAAGAGGTCGTGCGCAACCCAACTCCTCTCTACTCTGGAAGACTGGACTCGGCAGCTGGAGAGTGGAGAGCATATTGATATTGCCTACCTGGACTTTCGAAAAGCCTTCGACTCTGTTCCGCACAAGCGTCTGCTTGCAAAGTTGAAGGGCTACGGAATCCGAGGCCCGGTGCTCAAGTGGATTGAGGCATTTCTTACTGGCCGAGGTCAAAGAGTGGCGATCAATGGAACAACCTCGATTCAACACCCTGTCATGAGCCAGGGCCTCGGCTAAGGAATTTTGACTACTGGGGCAAATCGTCAAAGTGTGTTGGCGCCCTGCTGGGGGGGCCCCCCAGCAGGGGGGGGGGGGCCGCAGGTGTTTGAACACCTGCGGTTTTTCCTGCGGTTTTTCGCGGATATCTAAAAAACGGCGGCGCTCCATCACCCATCAATTTTACACGTGTTGTAAAAATCTCAGACCAAGGTCATTCAAGATCAGGTTACCAGGTCACTTCAAGTGACCTCACCTCATGAAATGTTTCCATGTATGCCGTAGCTACACCGAGTGACCGATCGCTTTGAAACTTTCAGCGATTGATAAGGGCAACAGCATGTACAAAATTTATATCTCGGAATTTTCATATCGGTGACCTAAGGTCAGCTCACTTTTGCGACCGATCTATTATAAGTCAATGGGAGAAATTCAAAACCACCTCTTTTGGACGAAAGTTATTCTAAACACTATAAAACACTGTACGTGACTTTGACACACTGAACATGAAAATAGCACCCGTGACCCTTTTTTATGCCCCTGAGGTCATCTCAGTTCACGAATGGTATCTAACAGTTTTTCGCGAATAACTTTTGAAAGAGGCATGCTAGAGCGATGAAAATGCCTTAGATGTGTTTGGTTAGACGATGCAGATCGACTGATATGCAACATGACAATTTCCGGTCAGATCATGACTTGAACCTGAGGTCGAATTTTCAAGTTGACCTTCAAGGTCAAATTGTAGTTAATTTGATGCGTCTTGACGAGAGGAACACGATGTCGGATAAAAGAAAGCGCTTGCATTGGGCCTTGGCTCGTGCAAAGCATGAGTCAAAAGTTATTGCAGAAAAACTGTTCCCCCAAAATCGTCTTTAGTAGTTTTTGCCCCTTGCAGGCAAAACCGTTGGCGTTAGGTCAAATCTAAGAGAAATAACCAGAAAGCATGCTAATATGGCTATCAAATGCGCTTTTCCGCGGTGCTGTAGCTCTAATTGGTTCCCGAGTTAAGCGTCGGCATCTTGTAAACTGTCGATATTCGACCTGAAAATCGGCGAAAGTTGGCCTTCACCATGACCTGACCTTTGACCTCACCAAAAAAGTGGCTCAAGTAATTTCGTCATTATTTTTGACGCTCTTTCGAACGAAGATGGATTATGGGGTGTAAAAAGATATGCTTGCTAATGTACAGTCCACAGCAGAAGTAATGTGCGGTTTCAGTCATGGGTATGTTCTGCTTCTGAAGCTTAGGAACGATTAGTCAGACTACAATGAAACTTTGAATGTAGCTTATATGTATCGTCAGTCGTCACCCTTGCAGCTGCAATTTTAGCTATTGACATCTTCTTTTCGATCACTCCGCATTAAACAATCGCCAGTCAAAGCCAATCGTTGAGATTGGTAAAACCCTACATTACTTTAGCGGTGGGCTGTACGCCTATGTTTTTGGATGGAAATTGAGGGTGCAGCTGCACACCGTGCACTCCCTCTTCCGCCGCCCCTGATTTCTTGCCACAAACGTCTTCAACCGCTCCCGAATGAAAGAATGTACGTCAATATTGATATATTCTCATTTTGTGGAGGTTGGGCAAAGCCTGACCACTACTGGGGCATTCCTCGACTCTACTGGGGCATTTGCCCCAGTAGTTAACATGTTAGCCGAGGCCCTGTCATGAGCGGCATCCCACAGGGTTCGGTCTTGGGACCGACGCTCTTCGTCATCTACGTAAACGACCTCCCAGAATGTGTCAAGAGCCACATCGCCATGTTCGCGGACGACGCAAAACTGTACGGCCCAAACCAGTCGCAACCGCCTCAGGCTCCTACTGACGCGAACGGCGCCCAGTTGCAACTCGACCTAGTAGCCGCAGCGAACTGGTCAGCGACCTGGCTTCTCCCTTTCAACCTGAAGAAGTGTAAGGTTCTTCACCTCGGGAGAGGTAACCCACGGTTCCAGTACACGCTTCTGGGGGAGCCACTCTCAGCGGTGACAGAAGAGAAAGACTTGGGCATCTTCATCGACGAGGAATTGAAGTTCAAGAAGCATGCTGCTGTTGCCATCAGCAAGGCCAACCAGATTCTGGCAGTCATCCGACGCTCCTTTGAGCTACTCAACTCCGAGACTCTCCCAGTCCTCTACAAGACCCTGGTCCGACCTCACCTAGAGTATGGCAACATCATCTGGGGCCCCTTCAACAAAGAAGATCAACGACTGGTGGAGAGAGTCCAGCGCAGA